CAAGCGGGGGGACTTAACCATGCGATACGTCTACGAGGTTGAGATGGAATTCAACCTGGGCGGTGAGTTGACGACTTACCCTGTTGTAATTTACGTTTGGAGGCGGGATTTCGACCTCAAATGGCAAGAATTGCGAGCATTCCTTCTCCACGGCACTATTCCTGACCGCTACCCACCTCGAATCGATTCGATCGGCCGCGTTCATGAACCTATGAACGAGGACACATTTAGAGCTATCTCTCGCCGTTTCAATAGCGACCCTCGATCGACCTACCTCTTCGACAAGAGCACCGGCCACATCTTCAATGGCAAACGCACGCGCAAAAAGACACAGAGGTCTTCCCATCCAGCAGAAGCACAATCAGTTTGAGTTGGACGTACGAACTCAAGTGCGCTATCATGGCCTTCCGGAGCTTCTCGAAGCGGACCCATCCGACCTCGTGAACATTGCGAGGACATGGACGAACGTCTGGTACATCGATGACGTCGCGCGAGCCCGCAGCTTGGCAACGCGCTTATCGCTTGACGAACGCTCATTCATGGTACAACCACAATCGTGCTTGATGCGAAATTTTGGTACATCCTTATTATCCCAATCACTAATATTAGCGCGATTTCGGGGGCGAAATCCGAAGTATCCCCCTCTGTGGTAGTGTCTCGTGGCCGCCACGTCGCCACCACGGTCACGCGCAATTCACGGGTCGCGCTTATCGGGCGATAACAGCCACCTCTGATTTACTCGACATTTCAATTCCTATCTCCTCCCTACTCCACAACTATCTCAAAATATCCGAACTCGAAGCTGCCGCTGGACGCACAGAGCTAGTCGGACTGGGTATAAGACTTGGCTTGGTCCCCCAACGTCTTCGCTGAGGGCAGCAGCGCGCATTCCCATTCATCAAAGTCCAAAAATGGTTCTGTGTGGACATGTGGTCAGTGTAGAGCCAGGATCTCTTACACATGGCCAATTTAGTTTTTATTTCATTTGTTTGTACCCCTTCCGATCACATAGTTACGGTCTCAGATTCGGATAGGAGAATCTTATCTTCCTTGCTTCCCTCCTTCATCTCTGAGTTTTGAGCCTGCGTGAGCGAAAGCGCAGAATAGCGAGCGCGAGCCAGGATATATTCACCCAGAGCTGAGTACATTTCACCAAACTACATCCACCATTTTACTCCACCCGCAGCATCAGCTCGATACGACCTTGGCCTCTAAAGTAGTCCTCGCTTGGACTACGTTCGCCTTCTTCATCGCGATCATCCGCGCACTCGAGGAGTATCGGCATTTCCTCGAGGGCGCCGCGCATCCGGTTGAGATCTGGACTGACCATAAGAACTTGGAATACTTCCGAAAGGCGCAACACCTTAATCGTCGGCAAGCCCGATGGTCGTTGTACCTTTCCAGGTTTGACTTTACGCTGAACCACGTCCCAGGTCGCCAGATGGGCCGTCCCGATGCTCTCTCCCGCCCGGCCTGACCACGGTATCTCCGACGACAACTCGGATGTCACCCTCTTACGCCCCGAACTGTTCCACGTGCGCGCTTGAGGCCGTCACTGTCTCTGGGCCTGGCTCCGAACTTGTCCGCGACATCAAGGAAGCGCTATCCGGTGAGCCTGACCTAGAGGAACCCGTCGCCACTTGCGGCTCGGCAACTCTTGAAGGTCCGAGGTCAAGCTCGGGGCCCCGCCATCGCGTTCGGACGAGTGGGCCGTCTCAGGCGACCTCCTGTACTTTCCGCGGCAAGGTCGTAGTCCCCAAAGACAAAGACCTAAGGAGGCGCATTATAGAGCTCTGCCACGACACGCGTGTCGCCGGACATGCCGGGCGGTTCAAGACCCTGGAGTTGGTTTCGCGCAACTACTGGTGGCCACAGATGTCCCGCCATATCGGACGCCTACGTCGCGACCTGCGACTTATGCTGTCGTACGAAGGCCCTCCGAAGGCTTCCACATGGGGAGCTACATCCAACCGAAGTCCCCCCCGAGCGCTGGCACACCGTCACTGTGGACTTCATCGTCGAGCTCCCCGAGGCCCATGGGTATGACGCAGTTATGGTAGTGGTTGACGCCCTCGGGAAACGCGCTCACTTCACCGAATGCCATACGACAATAGACGCGGTCGGAGCTGCCCGCTTGTACTATCGGAACGTCTGGAGACACCACGGAACCCCCGAGAAGTACATTTCGGACCGTGGTTCGCAGTTCATCGCTGACTTCACGCGCGAACTCTGGCGCTTAATTGGCGTCAAGCCGGCTACCTCTACGGCTTACCACCCGCAGACCGACGGACAAACCGAACGCGTTAACCAGGAGCTCGAGCAGTACATCCGAATCTTCACCAACTACCAACAAGACGACTGGGACGAGCTTATCCCTGCCGCTGAGTTCGCCTATAACAACCACGTTCACTCCTCCACTCAACAGGTACCCTTTATGACGGACACTGGCCGGCTCCCCCGAATGGGTTTCGAGCCGGGCACCCGCTCAGAGTTGGAGTCAGTGAACGAGTTTCGCGATCGGATAGCGAACGGCGTCTCCGAGGCGAAGGCCGCGCTCATCAAAGCCAAAGACGAGTATAAACGGTACTACGATCGGAGACGATCGGACGCTCCGAATATTCAAGTTGGTGATAAGGTTTGGTTAGATGCCTCTGACATCAGAACAACTCGGCCCTCCGAGAAGTTCTCCCACAAGCGCCTCGGACCGTTCAAGGTGCTCGCGGAGGTTAGCAAAGGTGCCTACAAGCTCGACCTCCCCCGCGTTACTCCAAGCTCCACCCCGTCTTCCCCGTTATTAAACTCGAGCTCGCTCAGGACGACCCCCTTCAATGGACGACCCGGCTACGACGAACCGCCCCCGAACTAGAGGACGGAGTCCCCGAATGGGAAGTCGAGGAAATCTTGGATGCCAGGATAAGGTATAAGCGTCTTAACTACTTCGTCAGGTGGAAAGGCTACGATGCTTCGCCGCGACTCGTGGGTTCGGTTCGACCGTGTCTTCGCGCCAGACAAAACTGCGGACTTCTATCGGAGGTACCCAGGTAAACCACGGCACATCGCCTCAGCGACCTTCGACTCCTTGCCCTTCCGAACTATGCGTCGGGACGCCGCATTCAAAGGGGGGGGTGATGTCAGGGGAACCCCCGCTTCGGCCTCCTTCGGACCCTCCGAACGCATCCGACCGGCGCCCCCTCGGACGCTCCGACCCACCCCGACCATCGTCCACGGCCTCCTTCGCCCGCACAATCACCGATCCGTCAAGACCCTCCCAACGATCACCTTGGGACAGAGCCTGCGACGCCGCTCAGGCCTTCTGCGCTCTACGCCGGCAGTTACGGACGACCAGTATATAGGTTGGCGCCCTAGCAGGCGGACCCTTAGAGTTTCTTCTCTTTGGATCCTCCCCTGCTAGGTCGGTCCCTCCGTGTATTTCCTGTAGTCTTATTCACGCTTTGGATCCTCCCCTGCTAGGCTTTCGTCGGAGTCTCCAGGGTTGCCCTTACAAGTATGCTGTGACTGAAGAAGACTATACTCTGCTTTCAGAGCGTTTCTGGGATAAACTGTCTGCTGAAGAGCGTGCTACTTTCAGTGATGTTATTCACTTGCTGCCAACTCATAAACTTGTTGAAGATGCCAATCTTCGAAATTTGGCAAAACTCAATAAACCTATAGTTCGGTGTAAAGCTACACACCATCGGATAAACAAGGCTTTGTCAAAGAAAGGATCTCCTGAAGATGCAGAAGGGTTACATCCTATGATTCTCCTCTCAGAGGGTGCAAAGGTTATGATCACTAGAAATATGTGGACTTCTAAGGGATTAGTGAATGGTGCACAAGGCACTGTCCAGAAGATTTGTTATGCCTCTAATGCAGATCCTCAAAAGGACCTTCCAGCAGTGGTATTTATTTCTTGTCCTGATTACTCAGGTATATTGCACAGTAATATTCTTGTAAACTCTTTCTTAATGTGATTATAGGCCCTCAAACTCCAGGTTGGACAGGCATTGATCCTTCTTGGGTGCCTATTACTCCTGTAACAACAAATTGGGAAACCAATGGTACTCCCTGTTCTAGAACCCAGTTTCCTTTAGCTTTAGCTTGGGCTATCACAATTCACAAAAGCCAGGGCCTGACACTTTTGAAAGCTGTCATTGAACTTGGTCCTAAAGACTTTTCCCCAGGATTATCATTTGTTGCCATATCACGAGTCAAGACCTTGGATGGAATAGCTTTCAAGTCTAGGTTCCCTTTGTCTAGGTTACAACGGCCAGAAGATACAGATACTTCACGTATGTTGAAGGCTGATATAGAAAGAAGAGCAGCCCTTGGATTCACCCTCAATGATTATGGTATGAATTTGGATGAATATGTATTTAATGATTAGTAATTCAGTTGTATTAACATATATATTTTTGCTTTTGCTTGGATTTGGCGAGCTCCCCCCTCTCATGTGAACCATTGTTCACATAAACATATTTAACCAAGAGCAACTCGAAGCACCCACAATCCAAAAATTTTTCATGGCATCGCTGGCGGGGCTACGATCAATTCGTATATTGACCGACAAAAAGCAATAATGATATTTGGTGAAGCTCGAAAACGCGCGAGCTCTTCGCGTACAAGTATACTACACTATGGCGAGGAGATTGCGTTGAGGGTTTGTAGCTATAGTCCGTAGATCAAGAAGAAGACACCAGACGACAACAATGGCAATGGAGTGGGAGTGTGATGAAATGCGGTCTATGAAAGTTGACCAATGCAGCGAAGCAGCCGATGCGATGGGTTGAGCACATCTACGAAGTGGAGGGAACATATATATAGAACGGAGGGAGGCAGGTAAGTACACAAAGCGAGGGGACGAATAAATATCAGCGATGATACAATTTGGGTTTTCAGTTCGACTTTGCGGGGGGAGACGATGCAGTTGGTGTTGATGTTGTGGTCGTATAGTGGTCGTCATTCATCTCGGAGGGCGAAAGCGGCCGAGCCCAGCTCAGCATCTAGTAGTGCATGCCGCCACCCTCGTAAATGTCGTCGTAAGGCATCATGGGAGGATGGGCTCCAAGCATCCCAAACACCTCGTTGTCCGCAGGCAGCATTGGAGGGTGGAGCCCACTCTGGTTCTGGAGGTACCCCGTGTTGGTAAAGAAGCTCTCCTGGACCATCATCGGCGGGTGCAGATACTCCAGCGACTCCTCGGACGTTGACGGAAGCATAGGCGGGTGGAGTTGCTCGTGATGCCAGAACGTCCCCGACGATGTGGTCGTCGTCGTTGTCTGTTTGCCGCCATCGCCGTTGTACCCTACGTTGGGGAAGCGGCTGAAGGGGAATTCGGAGGAGAATTGGGAAGACGAGACACCGCTCGTGTAGCCATCCGTGTAAGACGAGTAGCTTGTCGCGCTTGACGGGGGCTCGGAAGCAGAGTCAACACTCATGCGACGACGCTTGTTGGCTCGAATGCTAGTGTCCGCGTCGGCAGCAACATCAACGCTGGCAAATGGCAAAGCATCGTTGAATGCAGCCTCATGGAACGAGAAGGGGTTGACGAAACGAGGCCTGACGGGTTTGGCTTCTGAGCTCTCAGGCGAAGTGTCGGCTGAAAGGACTGGCGAAGAGCGTCCAGCTGAACCGGAACTTGAGGAAGATGCCCCGGGAGCTGGTGAAGCACGGCGACTGACACCAGGACTGGCCGTAGGCGTTTCTGCCGAGGCCACGGCCCCTCCCCGACGAGCATCATGTCGAGAACGTTTGCGGATGACATCGCTCTTCATGGAAATAGGTCGAGCAGAACCATGAAGCTTGTAGTAGAGGCCACAAGCATTGCAAACAGTCTTGCCCTCGTCGTCTTTTCGCCACAATGGAGTAGCCGTAGTATGGCAATTGTAACATTGGGCTGCTAAGCAACTTAGTACTCGATCAAAGAAACAGATATTTTACTCACCCATGATATCAACGGTTTCCGAGCGGACTGACTGTCCGCGGCCTTCTCCTCCGCCACTATTCCTCATCGTCTTGGGACGAGGTCGTTTGTGCTGTTGTTAATCGTCAATAATGTTAGCGGTCGCAGGATGAAAACTCACCAGCTTGCAATAGAGACCACATGCATTACAATTGAGCTCATCGTTCAATCCACGACGCCACAAGGGGGTATGGGTAGCACCACAGTTGCTACACTCAGCCTTGACACCCCCAGGGGCAGTGTGGTTAGCGCCAACGCCCGGAATAGGTGCCTGAACGGGCGGTCTGGCCGATGCAGGGACCCGAACACTCAAAACCGGCCGCTTCGTCTGAGGAACCGAAGTCGTCGGAGTTTGCGAGGCAGTTGGTCGACGGGGGGCACTGTTATTCGTGCTACGACCTCGAGAACCAGTAGTTCCCGACCGAGGACGGGCGCGGGCTCGAGCAGAAGATGCTGATTGGTCGTAGAAATCACTGTCTGCCGAGTCATCCCCACCATCATCAGAAGAATCGTCTTCGTCGACAGCTGCAGATGAGCGCTTTGCTGAAACTGACGATGTGTTTTTGTGACTGGCCTTCTTGCTGCTGGTGGCGGCGACAGGAGCAGAGACGGTGCGAAGCGGGGGGAGAATAGCCGAAATGCTACTTGTGCCATCCATCGCGTCGTCCTCAAGCTCGGACATGAAATAGGCGTTGGGCGACAGATGTGGGGAGCGAAGGGCGGAGCTGTGGGTAGGAGTAGCGGCAGACAATGACTCGTGTTTGGGTTGGGGACCAAACGCAGCATGAGGATCGAGAGTCAAAGGGAGAGGAGAAGGGTCATTGGGGCCGGGAGAAGGTCCAAACATCGGGAAAGTGAGGCCAAACCCGTTGGCAGGGTCAAAAGTGCCGCCACGCATAAGCTCATCCCACGACCAGGACTGGACAGGATGGACGCTAGGAACATCTGAATTGTAGTTGGTGGCCTCGTCATTAGTAGATGAGTCCTGCTCGTGTTCGATATCCGACGCATCAACGTCGGCGTTGAGAAGTTCGTCGAGAGGCAGTTCAATGGTGGGGCGGGAAATGCGCATATCTCCTGGAGAGTTACTGCCGTAAGGCAAATGAGCATCGCCGTAGTTCATGCGGGGAGCGAGGGATGACTGGGTGGTAGCAAGTAGCGCCTCGGGGCCAAACGAGTTGCTGAATAGAGTCGGGAGTCGCACAGCAGTCCCTTCTCCAAGCTTGCGTTTCGCACCGGCATGGGTCGTGGTGTTAGTCGTATTTTTCGTGACAGAAGTCGTAGAAGCAGAGTTAGAAACAGGCTCGACAGCAAAGGTGAATTGCATGCGCTGGATGATATGGTCGGGAGTGTTGGCATGGGCTTCGCGTACCCTTTCTTTCTCAGTCGCACGTTGACGAATGAGGTCGGTAGAAGGGTTGCGCTGAAACGCTGGCGCCGAAAGCTCTTCAATGCTCCTGAAACCCAGTCAATAACTGTTGACTCAAAGAAAGGCTATTCATGCCAGGAAAAGGAAAAGGATGGGGCATGGGGAAGGGAAGAGGGAATGGTGGTTGCTGCTGTTGACGGTTGACGGTCGTTTTTCCCAAGGGAACAAGCGACACGAATGATAAGCGAGAACGACTCATTAACAGACGCGACGCGTTCAGAAAAGGCGGAGACTCCGACGTGAACGAAAAGGAGTACATAGCACACTCACCGGCCCTTTTCCTTGTCGAGTTTGTCGCCCATGCACTTGGAGAGTTTTTTGAACTCGCGTTTTGACTTGGCATTGTCCGTATCGACCATGAGATTCTGGAGGTGCCATAGCCTACGAAAAGAGTCGGTCACGTAGAGAAAAAACTACTAAGGTTTCACATACCGCCACGACAAGTTCTCGAGCCTTTGGCCCTGCTCGAGGTAGCTAGCGACCTTCGTACAGACCTTTGTGGACGAAATCAGTAAGCAGGGAGCGAAAGAAAAGAGAATGAGCTAACCTTCCAGGTCTTGGTCAACGACTCGGCGTCGCCGAGGTTGCTGAACGCAACGAAGGACTTGTTACCCTGGTGAGGTTGGAAGGAAAGGAGGGAGGGAAGCGAAAGTCAGCGTCTATGAAGCGTCAATGGGGAGAGACCGACGTACTTTGAACTTGAGGTTGAGGATAGAGGGCATTCACTGGGAGGCAGACGATGGTGGACACTGAAGAAAACGGAAAACAGATCAGACGATGACTTATAAGGCGGTAATTCGCGATGGCACGTTGCAACTTATGACTAGTTCTACCGCTCTTTCGCTTCCATTTAGTTATATATTCCTCCGAACGCTTCCGTTGCCACCGCTGCTCGGCTTGGTCGTCGCTCAATGCCTTACTAAATGACTTGCGGTCGCTGTAGACCTCGATGAGCTCAAACACAATCGAGATCAGCCTCATGGTCCGTAAGCAGATCTCAGAAATGAAAGAGCTTCGGCAACAAGGGTTAAGGGTATTGTTTCTTAGCGAGTGCCTCGAGGCACACGCTCGTGATGCAAATCGGCACGGATTCCCGCTGTAACGACCGTTCACCAAGGTTCACCAAAGGTACATTTCACAGGGAAACTCAATCATCGTCGGAGCTTGCTACAAGCCTCCGCATTTTTTATCTACGCGATTATTCAATCAGTGCGGTGTCACAACTAGGCTTTGACCCTTGGGTTGTTCCCTCATACCTAAATCAGACGGCAGTCGACTCGCTACTGGCCCTTGATATCCGTCGAATTGGAAGAGACAAGCCAATGCGACACTCCATGTCATCGGCGGCCATTCAACGGCCTTTCCGTAGTGCATACGTAGTCATATTCGCAGGCACCACCCACTGGCTCCAACTCGTTGTTCGAGTTGGGCTTCTTAAGTCTCGACTCCCAGTATCGCTCACTATCCCACGCCAACCTCGTTCACCAAGAGAAGCGGAGAAAGGAGGAGCCCGTCAGTACTCGAAGGCTTGTGGGTGTCAGGGATCACTACCCAAAGGTCGCCATGCTGTTCGGGTATTCAGTTGTGTCCATTGATTAGCTGTAGGCCGTAACCTCCTGCGGTAGAACACACTCTATTAGCGCTTGCATCTGCCTTATGCATATGCAGCTCGGCAAGATCGGTGTAATTTCTCTTTATCTAATCTCGAAGCAAAACATCTGAAATAATTTGACATCAATGGGGATAAGCAGCCGGTTCGTCCGGACCGCCACATCTTCTCGTCTTCGCGTCTTGTTGGGGAAGCCAGGGGAAGCCGCACTATCCATATGCTGGGCACCCTCTTCCCGCGGTTGATAATGAGTGACACGTTCGCGAAGGACTGCCGAAAAGCAATGAACGGGTCACATGTTTACTCCCTCATCAGCAATCTCCCATTTCACTTCAACCACTTCTCTGAAGTCGTGTCAAGAGAAGAGGAGCTATACCCCAAAGGTCGGAGCCCAGAAGCATGCTTTCCTGTGTTGTGCGATGGCGATGGCGTGCTCGAAACACAAAGCAAGGGTTTTCCGTGATTGATGCGAAAGTAACTCGGCCCGATCGTCCGATTAGCACGCGCACACGTGACCGTGTCCGCCATGATACGCAGCTTGACAAATTTGCGGCCCTGACCATCAGGACCGAAAGCTCAATGACATGGTGCATAGACCTGATGGATTTGCATTGGCATCAGACACTGTAGACCCATATACTTACAGTCATGCCATTTGTGGGAACTTGAATGTGAGGTGTGGACTTGAAGTCATTTGCTACCTAGCACTAGGCAATGTTGTATGTACATATTGGCAACCTACAACTTGGTCAAGAAAGAGAAAAAAATAGGAATTGCGACTTCAAGCAGATTGTCACAGTAATGATTGATGAGTCGAATACAAATTGGTATTTACAGGCGGTCCGCTCCCATATAAGACCCCCTTTTGCCCAACCGCACATGGGCATTTGGCACAGTTGGTAGCGCGTACGCTTCGCATGCGTAAGGTCGTCGGTTCAAACCCGACAATGTCCACATTTTACTTCACGTACCTCAATGTATCTTTTTGACTGTTTCCGCTCTCACAGTGCCAAGTTTTACCTTTTTTTATTTTACTTGAGCAAGCTCTATCTAATCCTTTGCTCTCACGTTGTTAACAGGTTAACACTTCAAGTTATCGGTTGTCGACCCTCAACTTTTTGCCTAACATTTATTTGAGGTGTTATCCGCACCACGATCACCGATATACCACGGACCCACAAACTACTGACATGATGGCGCGGACAAACCCGAGCGCCCAGAGCATCTGGTTCCGAACCGGAATCACACTACTTCACGGAGTTGAATACCGAACGCCACTAGCAAGTCCTTGGTCAAGGAACCCTTCGCCCAACGCAACGCAGCAAGTGCATGTCTATGGCTTCTTTACATCTGCGACCAGGTCCGCAGGCTCAGGGCTGCGTCATTCTCCGAATTACACTGGTGACTGCGGCGAGTCGGCTTCTCGCTCCAAATGGGCGTCCAGCGGCGATTCACCGCTTATCGCTAAGTCTGAGCTGCTATTCGTCAAGCCGGGCGAGTTCCTGGGTCAAAACCACCCAACTGGTCATATCTTGCCGCATTGTCGGACACAAATTGCTCAGGCTAGTGCCAGCAAGACGAACGTGTTACCCACCGGGTTACCACGCATGCAATCTCCGTTCCAGAACTAAGATCGAACAGCCAGCTTCCGAGATTCCGCGACCTGTCTGTTGCTGGCTGAAAACGGGGTTATCCCACTTTGATAGCTGACGACATTCTTATCGAATCAGTACTCGCCTTCTCAGGATGTCAAGCGGGTATTCAACCCGGTGGCTGGGTTGAGTGTGGGGAATCAAGGTTGCAAAATTAAACACGTCGTCCAGGCCCTCGATCGTGATCGTATTCTCGCGTTTATCTCTTCTCCAAGCGCATGAAAGATTGCGATTTCCAGGCCGGCAGTGTTGCTGGCCTCAAACAATGTCAGCCCTCGAGCTGAACCGTGATCCTCGCCTCCCAGAAGAAATGCTGAGCCATTAGTATAATGGCGGGTGCTGAGGCCAACATCCAAGCTATTAATATTCGATTTCAAGCTCTCTGGAAGCCACATCGTACGTATTCAGTCCACCGGGGCAGGTCAAGAAAGGAAAACTTCCTCATAAGTGCGCGCGTTCACAAGCACTTTGCAAGTTATCGATCATCGATCCTTCGGCGACTCGACATTTGTGTGAGCAGAAAACGGTGTGTTGCTCACGAAGGGCGCTCGCTAGTGGTAGCAGAAGTCAATGCACAAGGCACGCTGACACGTTTTGTTATAAGACGTTGCCCTTCAATAAAATCAGCTTCTAGTGCTTGCGAATGGAGCCTGAATTCACCACCAGCTTGTTACGCCTATCAGTTTATGCAAAGAGATGGCCGTTATTCGCGTGTTTAGCGTGCGGTACACACCGAGGGTCTGAGACGTGGCAGGCGGCCGTTGACTTGCTGACTCGGATTCACCTGAGGCCCTGGCATTGAAGAAGCCACGCAGCAGTCACCAACATTACGCCGGTCTGATTAACTTGATGAGCCTGGAGATTTCCGAACCGAAAGCTATGGCCTACTTAGGAGGCTAGTATCAAGTTTGAGCCATGGCTGAGACGGGCCTTACTCGAAAGTAGCCGCGGCGATTGCGTGCCGCAAGCGTGCCGAGCTAGAGTGCAAGCTTCAGCCATGGTATAAGTATGAGAGGAATCTGAATTTCCCTGAGTTTCGAAGGTGAACCCGTGTCGTCAGAGAATAAACTGAGAACATGGCAGCTTGAGGCAAATTTGTGACAAAACGTCACACGGCCACCTACTAACGTCACATACTTCGAACTACTTAAACTTCGTCGCCCCGAATTGACGTTCGAGGCAGGGTCACTTTTCCAATGAGGCAAGATAATTTAAAACATGTAATAGAAGCGATTGACCTTTCGTGACGCTATAATTCGGGTCCTGGACTCTGAGATAAGTAGGATAGGATTAGGTGTAGCGAACAACTTGTTGCTGACTAAGTTCAAAAAGTCTGATCCTGGATCCGGCGTTCTGCCATGGAAGCCCAAGACTTTCCTTTGACGGTGATACCAACAGCTTCCTATACATAGGACTGCGCAGAATGATTCAGGACCCACATTAGTTGACGGCTGCTGTAGACCGAATCAATTTACTCCTATTGCTCTTTCTGCAATGCTTGCGCTTCACAGAATGCTTTTGCGGGCCTGTCTGGGCAAGCCAAGGCTGTCGTTTGTGCCAGGATTTCAAATCGATCTGACGTACTTAAGGCCCCATGACCCCGTTCCCGCTTTCCCCAGAACTGTGACGGTCGTGACACTTCCTTCTCTTCATGTCGAACATCACAACGAAGACGAACCGGCCAGGTTATTATGGCAAGGGCTCTGTTGAAGTTGCTCCCCCAGTCGCCGACAACGAAGGACCGATCCGTCGCTCAGCAATCAGCGCCGAGTCACTGGTCGAGCCCCCCTTTCTCGGTATCGAAACCGTATACGAGCTCGTTCAATATTGCGCCAAGACTCACGGCAACCGCAACGCAGTTGGCTGGAGGGACATTGTCAACACTATTGAAGAGGAGAAAGATGTGAAGAAAGTCGTCGACGGCAAAGAGATAACGGAGAAGAAGAAGTGGAAATACTTCCAACTTAGCGACTACAAGTACCTTACTTTCGTGGGGCTACTCGAAGCAGTCGATGAAGTCGCTCGCGGGCTAGTCGACATGGGAGTGACCACGGACGACATCTTCAACATTTACGCTCAGACGAGGTGTGTCTTCTGTTTTGTTTTCTTCTTCTTGTTTTCCTTCCCGGTGTTTCAGCAGCCGATGTGACTTATTCATGCATGGGCCGTGCTCAAAAATGTTCTTTGAGCCTTCGTCGCTGGTCCATGACTATGCCTCGTGTTATTAACCCCAAAGCTCATTACTTTCTCTTTGGGGTTGCGTCCTCAGCGACGTCATCCCGTTTCGGCTGTCTTCCAGGCTACTTATGCATGTTGCAGTCTCAACTGGCAGCTGATGCAAAATGCTTGCTCTTCCATCTCTACAACAATTGCGACGGCATACGACACCCTTGGTCCTGCTGGATTAACCCATTCCTTAAACGAGCCCCACTGTGTTGGCATCTTCACCAATGCCGAACTACTTCCTACCCTCGTCAAGGTCCTTCCCGATACCCCTTCCATCAAATATGTCGTTTTCGATGGAGAACCATCTTCTAAAGTCCTCAGCGCAATTTCTGAGGTCCGCTCGGATGTCAAGGTTCTTAGTCTTGACGAGATTCGCGCGCGGGGCAAAACTTTACCAATGTCCCTGGTCGAAGGTCGCCGACCAAAATCCGACACTGTCAGTTGCATTATGTACACCTCTGGTTCCACTGGTCCCCCGAAAGGTGTCGTCATTACCCACCGCAATCTCATCGCTTCGGTTGCTGGAGTTCATAAGCTCCTCGGCCACCACTTGACGGAAGACGACGCTTTTCTTGCTTATCTTCCTCTCGCCCACATTCTTGAGTACATTGTCGAGATGATCATGCTTGTTGCGGGCATGCCTCTTGGGTTTGGGCGTGTCAAGACGCTTACGGACGCGAGCGTGCGAAACTGCGATGGTGACATCAAAGCTTTCCGTCCAAGCATTATGGTCGGTGTGCCTGCTGTTTGGGAAACTATTCGCAAGGGAATCGTCGGCAAGGTCCAGGCTGGAGGGGCAATCCGAAGCAGTGTGTTCCGGGGCGCAGTCGAAGCGAAAAAAAGAGCGATGCCCGGGTTGTCCCAACTTGCTGACAATGTCATTTTGAGCAGCGTTCGGGCTGCTACAGGTGGTCGCCTTCGTATTGCTATGAGTGGTGGTGCCGCTATCAGCAAAGAAACCCAAGAATTCCTCAGCGTGGCTCTCGTGATGCTTCTGCAAGGTTTGCTGATCGACCGCTGCATATGTCTTTACTGATGCTTTTCAGGCTATGGGATGACTGAGTCTTGCGGTATATGCGCAATCGTGCCCCCGGAATGCTTCCGCTACGATAGCGTCGGTCTCCCAGTCCCCAGTGTTGAAATTAAGGTGCTGCTTCCTTTCCTCTTGTCGCAATGTGGTCTTGAAATCTTTTCAATAGTTCCTTGATGTCCCTGAGGCCGGTTATTTCAGTTGTGGGCGGAACGGAAGCACAGAGGAACGTGGCGAAGTCTGCCTTCGTGGACCTTCCGTTATCTCTGGTTACTACAAACGACCCGACCTCAACTCCGACCCAACCATCTTCCCTGGCGATGGCTGGTTACGAACCGGCGACGTAGGCCGGTGGAACCCCGACGGAACCCTCAGTCTCATCGATCGTATTAAGAACTTGGTGAAACTTGCGGGTGGAGAGGTGCACATGAAAGTTGGCCGTGTTATTTATCTAACTCGCCCCTCCAGTATATCGCTCTGGAACAACTCGAATCAACATACAAGTCCTGCAACCTGGTAGCGAACATCTGCGTTCATGCTACACCAGACGCTAAAGCACCTATTGCACTCATCTTCCCTCACGAATCCAACCTCCGTGCTGCTCTCCGTAACCATAATGACGTTGACGAGAAGCAAGGCATGGCCGACTTGTGCAGCAACCATCACGTATCGGCTCTTGTGCTCAAGGAGTGCAACGTCCTCGGCAAGAAGAACGGGTTCAAGGCGATGGAGACACTGACTGCGGTCATTTTGACACCAGAGGAGTGGACTCCAGAAAATGGACTCGTCACTGCTGCTCAGAAGATTCAGCGGACGGCAATTTCTCGCGCGTTCGACGCGGAGATCAAGGTTTGTGTTCCTAAAAGCTGATACTACGACTGACTACGAAGTACAGGAGGCCTATAAGAACCAGTAGGCAATGAAGCAACGTGATAACGTTGGCAGGGACGGTTTTTGTTTGGTTGTCTTTCTCTTCCTGTTGTACCCTACTTGCGGCATCGATAGATGACCTTAACTACTGAATAGATATGACTTGACGATTCCCCTTTTATCTGTCCACTCAGCCTAACCTTCATACTCATTGGGTATTTTTCACTGTGGTTGTCTGGTCTTGGTTTGGCAGCATATTTTGGCTCTGGGGGCACTTCGACTTGTCGTAGGCTGGACCTCATTGTGGCGCACATTTTGTTTGCAAGCGCCCAATGGAGCCTGGTCGGCTTTGTCACGTGACGTGGCTGGCATATACCCCGTTTCAAGTTTCAATTTCAAGTCTAATTATCTCTCGTTCTCCAGTCTGATAAATATGCGTACTCTACTTGCAGAATAAAACCATATATGATACAACTCCCCAGAGTTCCTCCCCCCGCAATCTCCGTTACTCAAAAGTTTTCTGCTCATTCCCAAGTCAGCGAAGCTTAGAAGCAACCAGACGATACTGACCCTTGCCAAAGAAAAAGCGCGTCGCCTTGGGGTCACTGTATTCATTCGATTTCGTGTGTAAAGCCTTCGCGATGGCTGCAGGGCCGCAGAAGAACTGGACGGGCAATGTCAATGGGGATGAGGGGTAAGGAAACACGCATACCACTCCGACGTCTGATTCTGGATGCTTCTCCGCAATCGAGCCAAATATTCTGTCCCAGTTAGGTCGTCCAAAGTGTGTTGGCGCGCGAAGGGAGGTGATTGCGTCCTTTTCAGCCCCGACATCGTGAACCTGGAATGTACTGAGAAAAAAACTACAAGAGAGCAATGAAGGAACAGACAATGATGTTGTTCATGTCGTCCTCCTTGATGCGCTGTGTCAGGTAGATATTGATCTCAATCCGATTTTGGGTGTCTTGTGTCTCGATCGCGTGCAGCAGGGAGTGGAACCACTCTGCGGTACCAAAGTCCCTGATCACCCATGTAAAGTAAACCTTGGTCGCAGATCAAAAGGAAGATTCTCAAGATAGTAGTACATATGCAGACCTTGGACAGCCGTGTCGCCTTTTCCCCTCCAAAGTTGTTAAGCCGGTACCAAATCGTCTTCAAGATACTGGCTGGCGTCAGAGACAAACCGACAGAAAAAAGGACACTCACGATGCAAACGGTGTCACACCAATACCAGCACCGACAAGCAACACCGTCTCATAGTTCATAAACTCCTCAGAGCACGTCCCGAACGGCCCATCAACCATGATTCGTGGAAGAGGCCGGTTGAGTGCTGGAGTAACCACAGTAGCAGCATCCTTGTCCTTCTTGTCGAAGTTGCAACCGACCGCTTTGGCAAGTGCGGTAGTGAAGTCGCCCTCGACGCGGATGTGGACGGAAATGTAGTCTTCTTGCGGGGCACTGTCATTTGTTGATTAGCACAACGCAAAACAATGCAGCATGTCAACCTAGTCAGGGTGAAAGGGTGCCATTGGAAGTAAGAGATCTCGGGACAGTTGATAAAGATATATTCGCCCGCACGAGTCTTCGTTTTCTCTTTCTTGATTTGCAGCTCCATGACGTTCGAGGGGTGTTGGATAACTTTGGACAAGTATGTTACGTGTCGGGAACGAACCTCGCGCAGAACACGCTCGGAAATCCAGATGATGCCTCCAACGATCCAGTAGCGCTAGATAACAGAAATCAAAGAAGCCCGAGTTCAAACAAAATATACCCACCCAAAAGACGCCGATGGTGTTGTAGGAGCAGAACGGTGGACGGTCGGGCTTGATCATGCAGAACATGCCGTGAAGTTGCCAAAGAATGAAGAAGGGAATGAACAGATGGTGGGTGTACCAGAACTTCTCGAATCCACCATTAGCGATTCGACGACGCTTTTCCATAGCGTAGTAGACCATAATTCCCAAGAACAACAACATTAACCAGCCCGTCCAGAGCGGGCCAATAATGAAGTTCGCAACAACGAAGAACTTGACGCGTTCGCCGGTCGTGGTCGCGGAAGTGTCGGCCATGGTGAGGCGATACAACTAGAAAAAACGTTCAGATACCACTGGAACAAGGCAGAAAAAGCAACATTCGTTGACAACATGAGCTAAAGAACGTTGAGCTTCACCGAAATTAGGGTAGGAAAAGCAACGTTCCTAAAGTATGAACCACCGAGCCTATAAGGATTGACCATCCAGTTGCTTTGTGAAGCGTGATATTTTCGTCGAAAGCAATTACGGAGGCAAGAGGCGTTCGCCTGAGAAGAGATACGAAGTTGCGGCAAACAGGCAACAGAATGTAGATGACATCAATGTGAATGACCAGCGCGGCAGAACGGGCAATCACTACAAAGAGGTTGTTAGCTAAAGGTAGAGAGACAGGGCTGATAACTTACCGAAGGTGGGTCCGAAGGTGGCTCTAGCGCCAGTGAGGTTGTCTTTGAGACTGTAATGGAAGACGGCGAAGATGGCGGCAATGAGATGGAGGATGAGGAAAGCAACGAAGAACAATTTCGTGTTGCCCTCGTTGATCATCCAAATGCTCATTGACTGACCCCATGTCTGTGGAGCCTTAGGTTTCGCGCCCCCAGTCGTTGTTTCGACCCGTTGGAGACCTTGTAGCCGCCGGCGCTCGGTCTTATTGCGCTGCAGATGACCCGCGGAGCTTTTCTTCGCGAGGACGTCCGAATCCATGGCAAGAGCGAGGGAGTGTGTAGGGTCTGTGATGCGACAAGGGAAGCAATGGAAAGAAATTTGGTGAAGGAGAAAGGGAGACCGGCCTGCAGGTCAGACGTATGAGGAGAAAGGGAAGGAGAAAGAAAGAGAAAGGCGATGACAACAAAACACCACAAGTGAAGATATCGCCGCAGCGAGACCCGGCTAAATCCATTGACGACGCTCCGTCATCCAGAAAACAAACACCAGACCCGCCCAGAACGGGTTTGGTATCGACATCGGTTTCCGTGTTTTTGATGGAGTAAGTGGCCCAGTCCTCCAAGTCCAGACTGCGCTGATGGCTAATTAGTCTAGGCTTGCAGCCATTGTCGGTGTCTACGAGGACGTCGGTAAGAAGCTTGGACTTGAAGGTGGGGTAGCAATAAACGAGCACAGACCCAAGTTATCGCGAAAACGGACGTTGTATCGTTCTGGGTCAACCGATTTGCGCAGTTTTACTCATATTTGTAGTGCCACCGAAAAGTGCATTCATGTTTGATTCGTACGGGAATCGTGGTTTAATTCTTGACTCCGATGACTTGGATGAGATTGGGCTCGACTTTGTTGACGCCGTCGACATAGCATGGTCAACAATTTAGAGTGTCACACGCCGTGTGACCAGTCGCGATGTCTCATGTTGCAATTGAGGCGTAAAACTCGGAGCAAGGATACGCACGAAAGATATTTTCAAACTAGCAATAATGTAACAGTCGGCGCGGTATTGATCTACAGAAGTTGTGTAGAAGTCAGCACGGCTGTTGCCTAATTATAATAGCTTGTGATCGACGCTTTACTCTGCCGCTCCCAATATCGTGGCGGTCGTAAACTCCCTACGAGATAGTTTACTGTGCGATCAAGTACTCAACAAGTTACAACCAATATTATACATACTTATCTGAGCTTCTGAGGGAGGATCATTTCCCCCCCCTGCTTCAAACGGTCATCATGCATTGACAAGCCAGTAACAAGTTTTGTCGTCTTTCTCTTCACAATCATTATTGCAGGCCCGCATGGCAAGTGGGTTCTAACCACGCTCAGGACTACGACAACGGAACTCCGTTGTTGCGCAATCCTTGCTTCTCTATTCTAACGCTACGCGAGTCGAGTCATCCTGTTCAAGTTCCCATAACTAACTAACTTTGTCATCGCCAGGATACCACTATGGACCCATACATCCAAGATCCCTTTGTTCAGTCTACTCTAACCAGAGTTGAAGCACAAGCCTATCTACAACGCATCAAACTATCTCCTACCCTTCTCGACACGCCGCTCTCTCTCGAATTGTTATCGCAGATATTGTTGGCCCAGCTGGAGGAGATTCCAAAGGACACGGGCCCGCTTCACGTTCCAGAGGAGCAATGGGCAGGGCCTCCAACACCGATCCAACTCGGCACATCATTCAGTAACATGCCGCTGGGGGTCGCTTCTCTTCATCGCATCGTCGAAGAGACCAAAGGCGCATTTTGTTTCGCCGTCAACGCAAGTTTCGCTGCTCTACTCCGAGCCTTTGGTTTCACCATCTCGGAATTAGTTGCACGGTCATTCAGATCGTTGAACAACGATCCGTTAACGCACCCCGACGGATGGAAATGGGGCACGTTCACGCATCAGGTGCTCATCGCTGGCTGGGCTGGGAGTGATGACCGGTATGTCGTAGATGCTGCCTGGGGACCTTGGGGTTTGGCAAAACCGTGCGTTCCGGCTGTACTGCTACTTGTGCAGGGTTAATGTCTTACCGGCAGGATCAAGCTCACTACCAACCCCGACGGTGAAACAGTCCTTGGGCTCAATGAATTCGAGGCCTATCGTCTCCTTCATGAGGACCTCCCGTTGAATGCTAATGTTGCAAGGCCAATTGATAACATTCCAGGATATACGCTCTATAAGCGCATCGCTCCAGTTGGCACCTCGATCTCTCTTCCTGTAACAGACGAATCTCCAGGCTACTGGTCCCCGCAATTCCACTTTTACCTCATCTCTGTCACCAAACCTGACTTTATGCTCTACCATCACTACTCCGCGACCCATGTTAATGCGTCATTCACCGCATTTTGGTTGGTTACCAAGCTTATTCCAGGTGGGAAGGGTGCGAGGTTGCAGATGATGTATGCCGACAAGGAGGGTGAAGGCCGAAGGGCCAAGGTTTATATCACCGGCGGACCAGAGGCTCAGGGTAGCTTGGCCGGCCGTGATGTTCAATGGGTGGATATGGAGACTGGTCCTATGAAGGAGTTTTTGGTCAAACACTTCGGGTATAAGTTTTCAAACGGTCATCAGTGACTTACCTCGTTCCTCTTTACTCGTAGTTCGCTAAAGATTCTGGTATAAATACGGGTGTGTGCTTGTTAACTGGAAGACCCATTGGCAGGATCAGCTAGGATCAGATGACAAACCCATCCAACATGACCGCCATCTATAACATCCTTAGCCAACTTCCAGTCCCTAAAGCTGGACAGTTTACTTTCTCTGAAAGTGCGCGGACACAATGCAGAGCATTACCTCCCTTGAATAATGCCACTAGCTGTCCAAGTCATCAGCACTGTCCGAGACAATGCCAAGAACACGCGAAAATCACTTGCGAGCTCAATATCGCTTCGCGAGTCTGTAGAGCGTGTTAATGCCTCAGGCGAAGATATGGGGGACATTGTTGCGTCCACTTACGCTACCAAAGACTCTGTTTCATACCCTCGACGCGCCATCTTACGGGAAACTACAAGCAATAAGCGATTTCTTGAGATCTGGCTTGGAAATACTCTCGAAGCATCCAGAGACATCACAGAGGATCATGGGGCTGTTTACACCGAAGGTGGGTGTTCTAGCAACTGCTGAAATATCTATATTCATCGAAAAAATTCAGAATTTTTCTCGTCATTCGCCTTCTCGCAAACGTCGCATGCCTTCATGTATGTCGCTGAACATACCGTTGACGATCCAACGGACGCTTTTGCGAAATACCGCTTCAAACCAACACTGGGCGAGACATACGACGGCAAAACGTCACCCGCTATTTTCATCTTCCGCTGGGATCCCCTCGACATCGAATTGCCTTCCTCCTTGAGTCGGATCGCACCCTCCCTACCAGATAATCGTGCCATTTTACTTGGACAACCAGTTTTCTCGCCCACAGAAGCCAACATCATCTATGCAACAGGCTACGAGTACACCTCCGATGGCAGGCTTTTGGGCTTGAAATGGTGCTACAATCGTCCGTCTGGAATTTGGCGGCTGACCGTTCCGGAATCTGACTCGGGGGAGGTCGTCAGCTGTGTTTGCGAGAAGCTCACGAGACCTGAGCTCTCATGCCGCTCCCCGCGTATTTACCATGAGATACACACAAACGAGGCGACACTTTTGTGGTTGTCGCATGCCTCTGGAGGGCCACACGCAGGCACATTCTCGCTACAAGCGGCTAACATTGAAGGCGGCACGTGGAATATACGGACGGTAGTTGACACCGTCCAGGAACCGGCCACAGATGGCTTTCCTGGGTTATACCCCGACTCTGGAAACCTCCCCTCTTCTCCATTCCTCGTTCTGGACAACGAAGCTTTCCTCGTCGTCAGCACTACTTGGAACTCTCAAGGCATGATATTGCTCGTTTCGCTGCACGATGGGAGTGTCCGAAACATCACTCAAACCAAACAAACACTATATTCCTGGTCGGTCCTTGCAACGGATGGTCATACTCGACTGTTGTGCTCCAGAAGCGCACTCACTGTACCCTATGAAATAGTTTTAGGCGAAGTCGACAAAACGGGTTATGCTGCATGGAAGGTTCTGGCTTCACCGTACACCTCTACTACTGGTAATGCCCTTCATCCCACAAAGGTTATTGCTCTGACTTTCCTGCTTTAGTAACAGCCACTTTGTCGACCATTTCTTCATCCATCATCGCGATCCCAGGTAGAGGCGCCACCCAAACGATAATCGTCCGCTCGCCCGATGCTCCTGCCACAAATCCATGCGTTCAGTTTATTCATGGTGGCCCACATGCAGCATGGACGACGGTATTCTCGCCTGAAATCGTGGACTGTGTGTTGCGTGGATGTAAGCCAGTTTGATGATTTCAAGTTGATCGCGAGTGGACTGATATTGAGCAAGACACTGTATCCCTCCCCAACTATCGTGGTTCTCTTGGTTATGGCGAGAAGTCTGTCAGGTCGCTGGTAGGTAATTGCGGGTCGCTTGATGTTCAAGACTGCATCGAAACTGCCCGACACCTGGTCAAGATGGGGCTGTCATCTGAGGGGCCCGGGAAGCAGTTTGTCTCTGGGGGAAGTCATGGCGGCTTCCTTACAGCGCATCGTAAGTTCAAAAAAGTAACAAAACAAGGATTTCTCCCAACAACGTTGACAGTTATCGGCCAATATCCCGAGTTCTTTACTGCAGCAACGCTTCGCAATCCAGTGATATTTGCGGATGCATTATCATCGGATATTCCGGACTGGGTGTGTTTTCTAACAACCGGCCGTCGGCACAACTGAGTATTTGTCAGTATTCTAATGAATGGGCCATCGAATACCCCATGCTCTCTTCCGCGCTGGGATTGCCTGGCAAAGAGGCGAGGCCAGCAGACCTGCCACGGCGCAACCCCGAAGACCTTGTGCGGCTTTTCAAAACAGCGCCAATCGCACATGTCGACAATGTCAAAGCCCATGTTCTGCTCCACATCGGGGGCTCTGACGTGCGGGTGACGCCAACTCAGGGCATTGAGTACTACCATGCTCTTCGCGGCAAACCTAGGGAGGGTCGTCACGTGGAGATGATGGTATTCCCCGATGAGGGCCATTCGCTGGATGGAGTGAGGACGAGCAAGGTGGTTTGGGAGTCGACGATGCAGTGGTTGGATCAATACCGGGAATAACGTGAAAAATGGACTTGTTTTGTAACTTGAACTACATTCTACTGTGTGCTTCAAGCTGGGCTCAAGATTATAATGCTTGATGGCGGCGGTGTCTGCTTCCCAATTTCAATGGAGCCAACCAACTGTCCGTGGTTGAGTTTACCAGTGCAGCAATGCTTCGCACGGCATGATCTAGTGGTACGAAAGTCCGAGTTAAATTCAAATTAAGGTAATGGTAAGCGGTAAAGAACGTGTTGCAATTGTCATTCCGTATGGTTAATAAGGAACATTAACGCGCGCCCATCTCTGGTTCACGTTGTTGCCCGAATTGTCGCATTCCCAGATTTGGATCTGTGGGGGTCGATTCGGTCGGCGAAGAAGAACAGAAAAGAAAGAGACGCACGAGGTTGCCATTGGTGCTCTTGCCATCGGTCAGGTCGAGGCAGAAGCCCGTGCCCTCCCACTCGATCTGTGCGTTAGGACGAGAGGTGAAGCGCTGGTTAGCGGCACGAGGGAGACAAGCTTGAGTGGTCAGCTTGACTCCGTTGGACTTGTTGCTTCCGGGGACAGTCAAACATTTGCCGTCGAAGATGGAGACGAAGCCAGAGGTGTGGACGGAGGGAACATTCCACGTGATATTGCCTTTGGGGTATGTGGCTTGGAAGTTCTCGCAATCCGCGAGGCCAACAGGGGCATCGAAATTGTTGGACGAAGCGGTTACGCAGAAGAGCGGGCTCAGCACCTTGCTGTCGGAGATTGCGAGGCGTACATGGTCGGATTTGAGGTCAACGCGACCACTGACCCAAGCCTGATTAGAGCCACCGTTGCAAGTCCAGATCTGTGCCATCTTTCAGCAAAGATACGTGTTTGGACTAATAAGCCACGAACCTGAAGGGGAGTGCCGTCGGTAATCCTGCCGTCACGGAGGTCAAGGCATTTGTTGGTGTTGCCCCAGCGGAAGGTGGAGTCGAGGTTCCAAACCCATTGTTGGTTGGCGTTGTTCTCGTTGCAAGTCCAGATTTGCACGTCCGTTCCGTCCTTGTTTGCGCCATCTTTGACATCAAGACACTATTTAGTTGTTTACTTATTGAGACGCCAAGCCAGTCCGAAAATCGAACCTTGTTACCATGGATCTTGATCTGCTGCGAGGTAGCAGGCTGCGAGGTGAGGTAGTTGACCTCCCAGTCATAAGTTGCACTGTCGCCTCGGTTGCAGTCGTGGATGGTGACAGGTGCACCATCGACATTGTCTTGCACCGAGACACATCCTTGAATGCCTGCGGCGGTGACTATACAAGAAACGGGCGGATGGTTAGAATTTATAGCTGAAAAATGTGGCTGACAGCGCACAGGAAGGGTTTGCGCTTTGAATTTGCGCGGCAGAGACCGCAATGGCAAGAGACAAGGTGATAACAAGCGCTTGGGGAAGCATTTTGAGGAAAGCCAAAGGAAGGAAGGGGGAAGAGTAGGGATAACTTCCGCGGCTCTGGGTTTTATACACTGAAGCATGGAAGGTGTTTCATGGCGAGCCTGGTTTAGGCGATGGTCGGCCGGTGGATCATGAGGATGTTGGGCGGTCCGGCAACGTCATGAAGGACTGCGGGAGAAGTATGTACATAGAATGATTTCGGAGATAGAAAATATGCCCTACATAAGTTTTTGTGAGCGAATAGAGACAAGAGCTCGGAAGCCTCTCGACCATAGGCGTCCAGTTACATCGCTTAGGAGAAGAGGGAGAGACTCCCGGCGAGTTGAATTTCGTGTGTATTATTGCAGGCAATGTTTTTTTTTTTTGAAAGTCACATGTGCTGTCATTCACCACACGACGCGGCCGGAATCTGTCGTGCTAGACCCGTTCAAGTCTTCAAGACCTGTTTCGAAACAGTTCTGAGTTCAAAAACTCTTCACTGTCAATGTGCACTGTCCAACCCCAGCCCGGGCCGACTCGGACATTCCATTGTCGGGTCAAGGTCTAACGCGTTCCAGCCCACCTAGGATCCATGTCGTACAGTGCTACCGACTGGCTGTAGAATAGGGTATAATGTGGTTTGTAGTATGGCATCTGAAAAGACTTGTGAGTATGATATCATTCCGAGATACCGTGACGATGGAAGAAGAGAAGACACGAGGGTAAGTCACCGTAAGTGTACCCGCCTGTCGTTCAACGTTCAAGTTCCAGTAAAGTGTGTGAGTTGTATGTCAACATCCGAGTCGGCCACAAACTTAAAGGTCCGCAAAAGGTCCGTCACGTTTGCCATTCGTTTGTGACTCAACGTCCAGCTACGTCCAGGTTGTCCCTGCTTTTATCCCAAACGATAGTCCATGTCTCCGTCCGCGTCTTCAAGCATCGATGGAGCTCTTCTCTTCCAAGACGCGCTATTCATTCGTTACCGCGGATGTCTCGCATTGGAAACAAAGTTCATTCGACGCGTTTCTCCTGAATCACTCCCTGCTACCACCCACATCCGATGACTCGCACATTCTATCCACCAAGCGACCCACACGACGACGACTCCAGTCATCTACTTTCCGAATCGCAGTCACAACGCCGCAAGCGCACTACGAATGTTGGCGACGTCGGGACCACGCTGGGCCAATCTAACAGCGCTGGGTGTCATTACTGGATGCCGTTTATCAGTGTTATGGCCATCCTGGCTATCTGCTGCTACGGTATCCTCTACCTCCCGTCACACAGGACTCAGCTTCACGACGTTGCGGACAACGTGGAGTCAGCGAACATAACCAAAACCAAGTCGTTCCTATCAGTCTCCCCGCCCACTGTTTCTGCGGTTTCTTCTTCAGCTAACGACTCGGAATCGGCGGGCCGCTACATCACAGATCTTCTTGACCGGCAGTCCCACACACTCGAACAAGCACAGTCGCGTTACATGCTCAAAACAGGCAGAGAACCGCCCCCAAACTTTAACAAATGGTTCGCGCTCGCGCAAGAGAACAAGTGTCTAATCGACAACTATGATCGCATTGACCGTGACTTCGAGCCCTTTTACCAACTCGCCAAGGAGCATCCTCGTCGCTTTCGCCAGATGCTTGACAAAGGCCAGAATATAATGCTTAAAGACCCGCGGGGCATGACAACCATACGCATCCGTGAGGGCAAAGTCGAGCTGCCTGACTATACTGGGACCTCCTTCGACAAAGACCTGCAACAAATAGTTCAACGGTTTTCCCACATTCTTCCCAATACGGAGTTCATGCTCAACGGCCGCGATGAGCCTCGGGTTGCTTTCAATGTCGAGCGGCCTAATGCTCATGCTGAGGCCATCTTGTTCAGGGATCCAGACCCATTTCGCATCGCCCCAGTACCGACTGCCGAGTTTTTTCGGAAGCAGCCCGGCTGTTATGTCTCCCAGCTCTCTGGAGGATTCCTTGGTGACCCGATCGATCAAGTTGCTTGTGGGTTCTTTTTCTGAGTGTCTGCACGAGGTAACTGAGCTTCATAGTCTTTGCGTCAAGCTCTAGCTCTGACTTTACCGTCGATCTTTGGCCCATGCTCAGTATGGCCAAGATCTCCCCATGCTTTTCTGACATTCTCTTCCCTAGTGTTGTGAGCGCAGATTTTTTAAATAAAAAAAAATTAATTCTGATATTCATATAGTATTACTACGATAGTTCGTGGTGGTCAGGCAAATTCGCGTACCCCGATAACGTTCAGTGGAAGAGCAAGAAACCCATTGCTTACTGGCGTGGCATGTCAAATGGTGGCCACATTTACGGCGAAAACTACCGTAGATTTTCACGTTTCCGGCTCGTTGAGCTATCGCGCGCGTATCCAGACCTGATTGATGCGCGGCTGACGAGATTCGCTGAGACTCAGTGCACGACAGAGGACTGCGATCGGGACCAGATTATTGAGGAGTACAACATCACCGGCGATGCGCCAAGAGAGGACGTCTACCAGTATAAATACGCGCTGGATGTCGACGGGAACTCGTTCAGCGGACGGTACCTTGGGTTATTACGCAGCGGGTCGTTGGTCTTCAAGGTAGGCTTTTTCTGGGGGTGATCATTCCATTCATTTATTTTCGGTTCTTAGTCCACTGCCTTCGAAGAGTACTTCTCGGACTGGCTTCGGCCTTTTGTGCATTTCATACCCGTCCGACCCGATTTGTCCGATCTCGCAGCCAAGGTCGCCTGGGCCCGCACGAACGATCAAGAGGCTCGTAGAATACAACAGCGTGGGTGGGAGTTCGCGACGCAGGTCATGACGGACAGGCAAAATGACTGCTATTTCGCGAGGGTGTTGTTGGAGTGGGCGAGGCTAGCGAATGTGACGAACACAGTGGTAACGAGCAATGTTGAGGGGCAGAACACTGGCAGCAAGAGCAGAACCAAATTCGTCACTGCGTCGAAGGGGGCTTGAACTTGAAGACGGCCCGGGAAGACAGTTATAATTGTGTTCTTATCTGCAACCAATTGAAGCGATCGAGTTTTATCTCTTTTCGAATTCGGCGCCTAAGCTTCCATCGGCGTCTATCGACGACAGCTTGCTGGCAGTTTGACTGCATGAGGTACTCGTGTGGCTTTCAGGCAGTCTTTTGCTTTAGTCTACCACCACTAAGCCCTTTGCTTTCAACTCTCACTATAATGCGCACCCCCACCCAAGTGGTCTATGTCTCTGGTAAAACACTCTTGGCTAAATCCGACTTCATTCATTCCTGTGATAGGCGGTCGTGGAGGCGATGGTGGACCAAGCTATGCGGGGGATGCGGGGCACGGAGGACGTGGAGAGGGACCGCGGTTCGAGATGCGGCATAACAAAATCTCGTATGGCCTCATTCTCGTGTTTTGTTTCGTCTACATGCTCATGACGCTGTTAAACAGCATGTATTTCAATCAAGAAGACCAACGTGGGTTGATATCCAAGTGCCTATATCGATGCTCACAATGGCTGCCCACAGGCAAGGAGCGAAAGACCATCCTTGAGTGGCTGTCGCCGATCAACTTTCTTGTGCGGCACCAGGAGCTAAGCGAGACGCGACAACGCGGCACGGGGGAATGGATTCTGCTCCATCCAGTATTTCTTGAGTGGAAATCGACGCCGGGGAAAGTGTTGTGGTGTTCTGGGATTCGTGAGTCGTTCAATGCCATGTCTGCTAAAATTCGTGCTAATATTGGGACTGCTTCAGCTGGAGCAGGCAAAACTGTTCTTGCGTATGTTTTCTATTAACATGTTCTTGGATGCTTAAATGATGGTGCAGTTCCAAGATTTTTGACCATTTGTTGACCTTGCAACTCAAGCAAGACACAATTGGGCTTGCTTGCATCTATCTGAACTACAAGGATGCAGAGACTCAGACATACAAGAACTTGCTGGCTGCACTGTGGCGGCAGCTAGTGATAAACCAAGATATGACTCCTGCACAGCATCTCTATAGTGAACGACATCTCAAACAGGGTGTTACTGCAACATTGGATGATATAGGGAGTCTATTAGTAGCCCTGGTTGCCCAGCTCTCACAAGTCTTCATCGTGCTTGATGCACTTGATGAGTACTCTGGGGATTGCGATGCATTGGTTCAGCAGATCCAAGATCTGGGTGCTAACATTCATATAATTGTCATGACTAGGGTGCACATTGTACCACCTGCTACTCTTAGCATTCTTGAACTTGAAATCACAGCTCATCAAGAAGATATCAATACATATGTCATTGCCAAATTACAGGATAGAAGGCTTAAGAGGTTTCTCAACAATAATACAGCCCTGCAAGTCAAGATCCTTGAACAAATTAATCAAACAGCTGATAAAATGTAAGACTTGCATTATTGTCCCTAGTCTCAGTCTGTATAACACTGTTATAATAGGTTTTTGATTGTCAAGCTGCATATGGAACTTTTATGCAGTGCATCAACAGTCAAACAGCTTAAAGAAGTGCTTGATAATTGGCCTAGCACATTGAGTGCAAGCTACAATCTTGTATTAGAAAAAATTGAAGTCCAGAGTGATCAAGACAAAGAGTTAGCCCTGACAATCCTTGGGTGGGTTGCATATACCCAGCGACCCCTCAGTGTTGCTGAACTGCAGACTGCTTTAGCATTTGAGAAGGAGGAGGCCCCAAACCCAGACTCTGATGCATTAGTTCATATTGATAGTATTGTAGAGTTATGCTGTGGACTAGTCATACTTGACAAGCAAAGTCAAGTAGTCAGATTAGTGCATTATACTACACAGCACTTTCTCAATGAGATTCAATCTTGGAAATATCCTCAAATTCAGAAGCAGCTATCATCCAGTCTAATGCTATATCTCAAGCTAGCCAGAGATTATTATGCTCAAGACCTGGAGGATAATCAAGATGTGACTATAAGCTTGCCTCTTTTAGATTACTGCAAATACTTTATAACACATATTACTGGAGAACCTGAAGAGTCACTAAAAGATAATCTGCTTGAGTGTTTACAACAGATCAAAGAGACTCCTAAAAGTTGGTCAAGTTTAGCACCTTGGAACTTCCTTGCAAGACCTGATTTGAGTCCTTTATGGATAGCTGTGGCAGGAAACCTGTTACATATAACAGAACATATGCTTTCCACTCAGAAACATATTGTTGGTCTGGAAATTATTGTTGCATCATACTATGGGTTCTTAGAAATGGTACAGCTTTTATTAAAGTTTGGAGGAAATGTTGAGGAAAATGATTACTGGCATGGAACACCACTTCAGGCAGCCTCAAGTCAAGGAAAAGATGAGATTGTCATATTACTGCTGGATAATGGTGCAGATATTAATTTGGTTCTTGGAAGTGGCAGGAATTATGGAACTGCTCTTCAGGCTGCTGTATATGAGCAGCATATTAGCACAGTACAGTTGCTTCTTTCTAAAGGTGCAAATGTCAACCAAATAGGTGGTTACTATGGAACAGCTCTTCAGGCTGCTGCATCTAAAGGCAATATTAATATCATTCAGTTGCTTATAGACCAAGGTGCAGATATCAATATACTTAGTGGCTGGAATGGAACAGCACTCCAGGAGGCATCATGGATGGGGCATCAGGCTGTTGTTGAGCTTCTACTGAATTTAGATGCAAATCCAAATTTAGTTGGAGGCTGCTATGGAACACCATTGCAAGCTGCTGCAGCACAAGAAAATAAAGATATTATTAGGCTACTTCTTGACAAAGATGCTAAGATTAATCTTATTGGTGGCTACTATGGTGCCCCTCTCCAGGCAGCTGCTGCTCAAGGAAATGAAGAGATTTTTGAACTGCTGCTTGAGCAAGGTGCTAATGTCAATGCTGTTATAGGAGAGTTTGGAACTGCACTCCAAGCTGCAGTATATCAAACAAATCTCAAGATGATACAACTGCTTTTAGATAAAGAAGCGGATATTAACTTCATAAGTGGTATATTTGGAACCTCACTACAAGCTGCAGTATACAAGCGAAGCATTGAGATTGTCAAAATTTTGCTTGCCAAGGGTGCTGATGTAAATCTTATTGGAGGTCGATTTGGGACAGCTTTACAGGCTGCAGCATATAAAAAAGATCTAGATATTATCCAATTACTTTTTGAAGCAGGTTCAGATGTTAATCTTTGTGGAGGTGAATTTCATACAGCACTTCAAGCTGCAGCATACAAGAAGCATCTAGATCTTGTGCAACTACTACTTGATAAGGGTGCACATATCAATCTTACTGGTGGAACTTATGGGACAGCTCTTCAAGCTGCATCATTCTCAGGAAGAAAATCTATTGTACATCTTTTGCTACAACGGGGAGCAGATGTCAACATTCTTGGTGGTGACTATGGGACTGCACTACAAGCAGCATCATTTTCAGGCAAGACAACAATTGTTCAATTACTCCTTGAAAAAGATGCAAATGTGAATCTTATTGGTGGAGATTATGAAACAGCACTTGGAGCTGCATTATCTTCACAGTTTCATGGTATTGCTCGACTATTAGTTGAAAAGGGTGCAGATATCAAGCTTGTCAATGAATTACATCAGACAGCTCTTAGAACTCTATTGTCAACTTCTGTCAATAGTGCTAATTCCGTGTTTTCAGATGGAAGTGGTCAGTTATTACTATTATTTACTTATATGATTAAAGGCTCATCATACAACAGACTCTGATGATTCTGACTCTGGGTCTTCTGATTCTGATTCTGCCTCTGAGTCTGAGGGAGAATCTGAATCAGAGGCTGAATCAGACTCTCAAACTGACTCAGATAATGAATCAGATTCAGATTCTGGACAATCAACACCAGATGCATCTCAATCCAAGTCTGATACAAATTCTGGGCAAGACTCAGACTCAGAGAAATCAGAGATATCACCTTTTTGTAAGATATGTCAGATCTGCTAGGACAGAAACTGTTATTATATATATAATTATAGCTACTTTAGGTTGACTGATATTCAGGTTGACTAATAAAAAGGCTTATATTAAAAATTAGTATATAAGAACATTTACTATCTCTATGTGTAAGCTGGCATTATTGTAAGGGCAACCCCGGAGGCCTGAGATCAAGGTCTAGCAGGGGAGGATCCAAAGTGTGAACATTGGTAAGCAAATACAAATGAAGCTGACCTAGCAGGAGAGGATCTAAAGAGAAGAAACTCTGAGGGTCTGCCTGCTAGGTAGCTGACTATATACTGCTTGTCCGTAGCTGCCGCTGTCGGACACAGAAGGCTTGGGCCGTGTCGCAGGCAAGGTCCCAGGGCGACTGTTGGGAGGGCATTGACGGATCGGTGATTGTGCAGGCGAGACGGAGGGCCGGACTGGAGTCAGAACCGGAATCGGACCAGAATCGGAATCGTCTCCGAGGGGCCGAAAGGGAGGTTCCCCTGACATTTGTCTAATAAGTGACTATTTTGAGACAGCACTGTAATTAGTAGAAAACATCAAATAATCAGTTGAACTTTTTGGGGCAAAATTATAGCTGAGAGCAAGGAGGGTTCCAAAAAAATCACGGATATAGGGACCTCTCTCCACTCCTGCCATATAGGGTAATATGTTCCCACAATCAGCATCATGTGATCACTGATGTAATAAAAAATTGTGGTATAAAAAATTCAATCTTTGTAAATTTCTTTTTTTTTCAAATTATATATATATATAGGCATATATATACCTAGAACCTTCAAACACACATAGCAGGCCATATCAAGTCATTAGTATGTTTACTGGCATCAATTATCTCATGATAGTCTTGTGACATGATAGCTTATCTAAACTCATAGGCCTGACAGTTTATATATATATATATGTCAAAAATTACCCTTTTGGGACATCTTTTTACTTGAATCTATGTGACATGCAAAAAAATTTGTATAAAATCAGCAGTGTGATGTGTGACAGTACAATTGAGTAAAATACTATATTGAGTAAAATAGTACTATAGTATTTTACTCAATTCGAATGCCAATAATGGTGTGACATTTGATACGAAAATTTTGAATTTGAATTATTTCCTAATTAGGAAGTTCTTGGCGCCAGAGGCGCCCGGCAATGTCAAAAATTGCCCTTTTGGGACATGAATTTGAGCAAAACAGTATGACATGCGAAAAAAAAATCGAATTTTATAGGCAGTGTGACGTGTGACATACGAACTGAGTAAAATACTACAGTATAGGAAGCATATGACCAATAGCAACATGTCAGGCCCAATGCTAAGCCCAATTCGGGGCAACAAGGAAATGGGGAGGAGTGCTACACTGTGCTAGAAAGACTAGGAGTAGCATCTGAACTGTACGAGACAACCCAAAGCCTGACAGTGTAGCAGCTGGAAGTTGGCTGAAAGGGGGGCAGAGCAGCTGGTACAGCAGTCCAAAGGGTCTGAGAGGAAGGTTCCTCTGACATTACTGCTATGTTGTGCTATCTGAGGCATTGAATTGCTATTATGCATAAGTCAATAACTCTTGGTAAGATTGTTTTGTTTATCTTGGCATTAAGTTGACCTATTGCCTGGCCTGCTGTATCTAACAAGCTAAGTTCTGAATCCACTTATCCCACTTAGTAATAAATCTAAGAAAACATACCTATCACATCCTACAAACTTATATGTGGTTTTTGGACAAGGTTGCTCCCAGAGCTTTACATTAAAAAAACTATTTTCTACTTAACAATACTCTCATCAAAGCCTTCAAAATTGCCCTTATACTAACAAAGTGTCTGTTCTGTTCCAGGTGTATGTTCCTCAGGAAGCCTTGGCCCAACCCAAAGCCTGACAAAGTTATTCTTGCCAATCCTTGAAATTGGCATACACTGCACTATAAGTTTCTCCCAGAATGGCCAGTGGATTCAAGCTATACATGTATTTCTATTTTGCTATTATAATTTACATCTACTAATATTTTTACAAAATTTACAGATTAACTTGGCATTTGTTCTTGACTTCACCTTGTAGCTCTTTCGGGGAGGCATAACTTCCTAAAACCAAGACAAATGATATTTGTGGAATAATTATATGAGTGGTCATGTGCCTGGCATTGAAACCGGCGTCGCCATCTGCATTTGCATCACGGGCGACCCATATCCATATCCATACCCATAAGCTGTATAATGCTGCTGGCGAGGACTCGCTGGGCGTGTATTAGGGCTAGTATTCATAGGCATTTGCATATAAACCGGGGCCAGCATCTGCACCATCTGTGGGGCAGGAGTTGGACTTGCTCCTGAGTTATTGTGTTGACCGCCATTTGCACCATCTGAACCAGCAGTTCCACCTGCATCGCTCACTCCGGGAATCCCACCAGCACTTGCGTCGCTCAGTGCAGGTGAGCCAATAGGCGTTGCCTGGATGATATAGAGTGGCGCTGCGCTTGGAAGAATTTGGGGTGACATTTGCATCTGGACCGGTAATGGAACCGGCATGTGGCCCCAGTGAGCAACATATGTAGAGCCCACAGGCTCCTCTCTATGCTGACGAGGTCGGTGGTGGTGATATGGCGGAGTAGTTGCACTAGTACTGGGTCTGCGGCGGTGTCTTCGCCGAATCGCTGGCTGGGATGTTAATGTGCCTGGGCCATTGGTCTGTGGTGGCGGAGATCGTTGTGGGCTATGCCGCGAAAGTGGAGGAGCAGGTGGAGGCGGGGAGAAAGCAGGATACGGGGCATAAGCATAGGTGTAATGAGTCTGTATCCGATCAACTGGAGTGGAACGGGGACGGTGACTTCGATGTCGTCGAATGTGCACATCTCGACCTATTTCACGGGTTTCGCCAGATCGTCGGCCGCGTTCTGAGTTGTGCAACGCAGTATGGGTGGAATCGAATAGCGAGCTGTCACGAGTGGAAGGCGGGGCATGTCCCATAGGATAATACCAAGAAACACCCTCGTTTTCTAGCCTTGGCTTGCGCTTGGGGGGTTTCCAGTCCGCTGTGATACGGTCTGTTGCCACCCAGGGAAGTAGATGAAGTGCATTGAAAAATCGGTATATTGGGCCATGCAATTCTTGAGCAAACGAGGGCGAGCTCATTGAATGAGAAAACGACTCGTCAACCGTGGTCCGACTGCGCTGACTGTGCTGCCTTGAGATTGCTACGTCATGGGCTGACATGCGGCGATAATCTTCTGTTGGTTGAGGATGCGCATTTACGGAGACGGGTTCGTCACCCTCTCGTTCAGCTGGAGCCAAACGATCATCCACACGACTGGGGCGAGGAGATGGCGCAGAAGTGTGGGAGCGAGTGCGAGCTATTGCTGGAGCAGGGGTTGGTGGCCGAACACGCGTAGACGGGCCTTCTGCAGAATCGAATCCACCCGGCATAGCTGCGTCATGGGCAGCGAGAACAACACCAGAATCGACCTCCAGTTGATGTTCTTCGTCGTCTTCTGGCGGGACAAGAATGAAACTTGGCCGATACTGCTCTGTCGGTGCTGATTTTCTAGCCAACGGTGCAGCGAAAGATACTCCGCGATCCGGAACAACCGGTGTTGGAGGTACAGAACGATATTGCGGCAAAGTGTTACCCGTTCCTTCTGTTCCGGAGGTAAACTCTGTCGCTTCTGTCCCTCTCCGAGGTCGTCTTCTCCCCAGAGCTTTCGGAAGCTTTTTTAAGCCACTGACAAATCCGCCAACAAACCCCGTTCGATTGGCATGGGCTTCTTTCGCTTTGTAAACCTTCCCAGTTGTCCACTGGTATCCCATCTCTGGCGAAGGTACCTCAACCTGCATATGCTCCACATTCGCTTCTGTCAATGCGCTTGCTGTCCTTCGCGGAGGCATAGGAAGTGGTCGAGAAGGGGCCAACGATGGGACGGGTTCTGGAAGAGGTAGCGGGCCAGGGGGCGGAGGCGGAGGCGGACTATTTGCGTTCATTATAACCCATGAGCGAGTGCTGGCTGCTGCACTATCTCGCGAACGTTGTCGGGAGCTGGTGTCGACAGCACGGGCTCGACCAAACATCGGGTCTGCGCGCAACATATCACGCAGTTCGGCTTCCGCCATAAAGTGATCGTGACGAAGAATAGAGCGAAGAGGATGGTAGAGCGTAAGGGGGTGTTCAAGATTGATGTTGCGGGTTTTTGTAGGAACACGTGGTCATGGCGATGCTGAGCTATGAGTGCAAGCAGTTTTCCAGGCGGATTGGAGTCGGCATTTGACTAATAGACTTGAGTACGCCGCGTAGATGCAGTTTAAGGGGGGGCAAACCTTAATACGGTAGAATGTCCTGCCGGCGTCCAGCATCGCAATGAAGGTCCAGCGAGACAGTCAAGGATTCGCGACATGGTACGAGGCGACCCGCATTCTCCTGCTTCTTCTTTTAAGTAAACTGGATGGTGGATAATGTTGGTCGAGCAGCAAGACATGTAAACTTCGAAGTGCAAATCGTTCTCGTCGCTAAAGTAAAATACTGAGATACGAATGGAGTCATTGGCCGTTATAATAAGCGCACCAGCCTAAATTTGTCATCGGTATCCCAGACCCAATCGTTCGCAGTGCTGCTCGCAAGATATACTTCTGGCGTTGGTGCAGGAATATGACTCGTTCAAATCCACCAATGCCTCACAGAAGCTGTTGGATGTGAGTGTTGCCAGACAGGTCTAAGCCAGCGAATCGCACATTGAGTACTCGTTTATATGACTGCCTGGCGGGACCATGAACACGAGGGAATGAAAAAGAAAATTCGAAGGCCCACGGACAGCATAGCCTCGAGCTTCGTGCCTAGATTCACCTTTGCTCCATTAGCGAGCCCGCAGCCCATTCTGTCATGACGACTCTTGAGGTGGTGGAGGAAACGGAAATGTGTGTGATCACATGATTCGCATTCAGCCCTTTGAATTCCTACCAGTTGGACCACTACTTTAAATCGGCTTCACAGGGCTTCACGCCTCTCCACAACACATCAGCCCGATGAAAATCTGTTCATACATATGCATTGGCCATCAACCTATCATCCGATGTTCCATCATTTCAAGTTTTAGTTTTGTGAACCTCACTCCAGCCTCAATCACCGACTATCGCAATTTCATCACCTCTGACCTGCCTAGGAAAACACAATACATGTCTGGGAAACTAGCCTTCTACTGACGACTCTGAATCGCATGTGACGACCTTATCTTCGTCCTTCTGCTCCCACCACTACCATGTCTATCCACGCCGTGCGGAAAGAGCAGTGCCACCTTGCTTGGGATAACAGGTCTTCATTCAAACATTCTTTCCCTCTCTCACTGCTCATTGTCTCTCCAGCATCCCCCCCATTCTCCGAGTTCAGTCAGGCCAAATCGTCACCTTCGACTGCCTCGATGCGTCAAATGGACAGATAACACCCTCCAGCACCGTGCAGACCATAAACTCTCTCGTATTCTCTCAGCTCGATCAAGTCAATGGACCCATCTACATCGACGACGCCAAACCAGGTGACACGCTCCAAATTGATGTCCTCAGCGTCAAGCCAGCGGAGTGGGGCTGGACGGCATGCATCCCAGGCTTCGGACTACTTGCTGACGAGTTTACCGAACCAGCTCTGAAGATATGGAAGCTAGAGGCCCTCGATAAGCTTGAAACAAGTGGCGCTTTTGCTTGGTTTGACGAGCAGAAGACCATCAAGATCCCCTTGCGGCCATTTGCAGGCGAGATGGGCGTCGCTCCTGGGAAACCTGGCGCGTTTTCGACTATCCCACCGTATGCTACGGGAGGAAATATCGATACTAAGCACCTCAGTGCCGGAGCGACACTTTTTCTGCCCGTTGAGGTGGAAGGAGCGTTGTTTTCTATCGGAGTAAGTACAATTCGTCCTTCATTTTTCGAAAAAAGCTTTGTAATTCGTATCTAGGACGGGCATGCAGCCCAAGGAGATGGAGAGGTTTGTGGCACTGCTATCGAGACGCCAATGAAGGTCTCTGTTCGTCTCACTGTGCGGAAAGATAGGCCATACACCAAAACCCCGCACTTCAAAACCGCATCAAGTATTCCCAATCAAGAGTCTTATTATACCACAACAGGAGTGGACTCAGACATGCGCGAAGCGACACGATCTGCGGTGCGGAGCATGGTCGATTTTCTTGTTTTTGAGCACAGGCTGTCTCGAGTCGAAGCCTACATGCTGTGCAGCGTTGTCGGGGATTTACGGTTGCATGAAGTAGTGAGTCACAGGTCACTCTTGAAAACTCTCATGCTGAACCCATATTGCAGGTGGACATGCCCAACTTCGTGGTTGGAATGATGATGCCCCAGTCGGTGTCCGTCTAATGGTTATGGCTCTCGCACAAGTAAATGACTGATAGTCTTCCAGATTGACGTAGATATATACTGTAGTTAACAATAACCTGTTCACAAGGGGAAGTATGCACGCATGTTGTTGCATTCGGATATTTGAAGCTGGTACACGCCCCAGCCCCAGAAGCAAGGCGCAAGAATAATAACCTTGTCGCCATTCTTCATGATCACGTTACCGCTGCGTGAGACATTTGTCGTGACAAAAAGCCAGTCAAGCAGATAGGCACTTGTGCTGTACGAGTCACGGCCCATTGATGGGCCGGCCCCAAAACGGCCCAGTGACAAAAAAGTTGCCTTCGGGCAAAATCCAATGCGCCCTCAGGGACGAAATATCGTGCCCGAGGGCAATATTTTATGCTCCCTCAGGCATTCAATTTCATGCCTGGAGGCACAATTTCTGTTCCCTCAGGTGCAAGTGCATTGAACCTACAGTACATTATGTTTTGCCCCTTCAGTGTAAGTTCTGGTCACTGTAGGACAGCTCATTCTTGTTCCTGCAGTGAGTTTTGTTCTTTCCCTTCAGTAGCAAATAAAAATGCCCTCAGGCCTATCATTACTTGAAGAAACTGAGATGAATTCAAGTTACTTGTAATATAAAAAAAAGCTACAGTTCAAAATCCTGAAGCAAAGCACTATAGGCAAGTCACCAAATAACAGAGAAACAGCATTAAAACCAACAAGAGCAAGATGCTATAGGATAGGTATAAATGGTTTGTACTTTGGCCTTACTGATGTATATGATGATCTAAGAAATCCAAGCTGTAATTAATTGAGGACATTTTTAACCAGTCTGATACAACTGAATGAATTATCCCTTCATGAGATACATTGTGTTATGAGCAGAGAGTGGCTTAAATGAGTTGAAATGACATGTTATTTAAATTGCCTTTTTTGGAACACATCACCATCCCCAGAGGTACTTATACGATGAAAATGCCTATAGTCAAGTTTTTTTATCCTTCAGGCACAATTATAAGTCCCTTCAGGTATAAATTGCAAGATGCCTTCAGGCAAGAATGAATGATGCCTATAGGCATGAATATTGAGACCTCAGGTGCAAATTTAAGTGCCTTCAGGTACGAATATAGGCACCTTCAGTCACAAATCAAATGTCCCTTCAGGCAAAATCAAAAAAGGGGCCGTTTTGGGGCCATTCGCCCGATTTGGACGGCCGTTTGTACAGCACTGGGTTTGGTCTCCAGTCAAGGGAAGCGCTGGAACGGAGCTCCCTGGTTTGAAGTGCTAAAAAACGGTCAAGCACAGCGCCACTGCTTGCTTGGTCACCGTAAAATTTACGGTGTCTCCGAATAACCAACAGTTTGTCGAAGATATTCTTAACGCTCTCATTCCCAAGGATGTTGTGCGAAAGTCCAATTTAAGTACCAGTAAGTAACGTAGTAACAAGGAATGTGTTATCAATTTTGAATCGGGGTTTAAGCCTGGGTACGCTTCCACTTCTGGTTCGGGTTGGAGCCAGACTTGTCGCATTCCCAGATTTGGAGCTGTAGATACAGATTGAGTGAGATGGGCAAAGAAAGAGGAAACGGGGGGACGCACAACGTTGCCGTTAGCGCTCTTGCCGTCAGTGAGGTCAACGCAGAAGCCGGTTCCCTCCCACCTCGAGTTGGCCAGAGGGGAGCGAGGTGAAGTGCTGGTTGGTAGGGCGGGGCAGGCAAGCCTGGGTGGTGAGCTTGACGCCGTTGGCGCGGTTGCTGCCGGGCACGGTCAGGCACTTGCCGTCCAGAGTCGAGATGAGGCCGGTGGTAGGAACGGAGGGAACGCTCCAGGTAGTGTTGCCCTTGGGGAAAGTTGCCTGGAAGTTGTCGCAGTTGGCAATGGCAACGGGCGCATCGAAGTTGTTGGACGACGCGGTCACGCAGAAGGGTCCGCCAGCAGCATTGCCAGAGGGGGAAAGATGTACGTGGTCGAATTTGTCGCCATCGCGGCCAGTCCACGACTGGTTGGGGCCACCAGAGCAGGACCAGATCTAAGTACAGGTCATCAGCAAAACGTCACTTTCGCAAACCGTCGATATCCTTACTTGGAGAGGTGTGCCGTCAGTGATCTTGCCATCACGAAGGTCAAGACACTTGTTGGTGGTGCCCCAGCGGAAAGAGGAGTCGGTGTTGGCGACCCACTGTTGGTTGGGGTTGGCGTTGCTCTTGTCGCAAGTCCAGATTTGCACCGAGGTTCCGTCCTTGTTGGCGCCATCCTGGACATCAAGACACTATTGATTCCCTCAGTAGCCAATCAGATAGTGTAGAGCAAGTCAATCGCACCTTGTCGCCAAACACCTTGATTTGTTGCGGGGCGGAGGCTTGCCCGGTGGCGAACGCGACTTGCCAGTCGTAGACGGCGCCGTCGCCGCTGTTTTGGTTGCAGTCGTGTATGGTAACAGCGGCCCCGTCAGCATTGTCTTTCACGGAGACACATCCTTGGATGCCAGCGGCGGTGACTATAATTGACACGGCGATTAGATTAGTTGGACAACGAAACCCGAATGCGCACAAGCGGGGTTCGCGCTTTGGATCCGCGTGGCAGAGGTGGCGATGGCCAGAGACAAGAGAGTGACGAGCGTTTGGGAAAGCATTATAGGCAAAGAAGGAAAGGGGAATAGGGAGATGGATTTCAGCCCCCACTTCCCCCAGTTTATAACGCCGAACACATGTCCTGGACGGCTTGAAAACTCCGGTTGTCAGCCTTCGTTGAACGCCGTGTGCCCGGCTTGGGTGTGTTTGGAGTCGATCCCGGCAATCTCTCCAATGGGAAAGTTGGGAAAAAGTTACATAACGGGAAAAAATAAAAATGGGAACATGATTCAGAAGTCACGAGGAGTTGCGGTGACATGTGGTTTGATCTAGTCTGATGCTCAGGTACTTGCCTATACCTTGCCTTTCTCTTTGCTAACTGTAGACGTTCCAGTTTCTGAGTCATTCATGTACAACTTGCTACTGGCCTGCACAGGCAGACTTGGCTGAGCCTTTCCGCCGGATCAAGCGGCAGCCTTGGCACCATTGATTTGCTGTCGATCTCTCATGGAAGCAATCTGTCAAAATCGGTCAAAGTCAGCGGCTGCGTCAACTCGTGTGAACTTACTTGGCTGGATCTATTCTGAGTAAGCATCACTTTGTTCGACATGACACTTACTTGGGTGCCGAACACGCCGTTTGTGAGGTCCTGGCAATGGCATCGCGCCAGTCCACTCAATCGATCCATGAACATCTGGTTTGTGTTGCATGTCCAGAGTTACAGCTTCACGCCATTTGTCTTGGCGCCATTCGAACGTCGAGGCATATAAGTATATATTTATCGTCGTACGTGGAGATGGTCCCGGGAGACTGAAGAAGCCCATGTCGAGTTGGCACGTGGGAATTTGAATGTCAATGCGGCTTGGATTCGGTTGTTGGTTGCGAACGAGGTCAGCACAACCTTCGCCCATTCTCGTCCGCCCATACGGTCCACACATTTGTCTGTTCCCGCCCACTGGAAGGTCCTGTCAGTTCGGGAAGTGAACAACTGGTTTTAGTTGCGATTTGACGTGTCACAACTCACAAGCCCAGATCTGGAGCCGTTCCGTTCGCATTCAGACCATCCTTGACTTGGGAGACTTGTGGGAGACACTATGGAGGATTGTAAGTATGCATATAAATCAGTTGCGAGAAGGAAAAAAACCTTGTCGCCGAAACTCTTCAGTTGTTGAGGACCGACCAATCTTAACATGAGGTCTTGACTCAGGACTGGTGTAATTGTAGATGACAACTGGTGTTCGACTTGACAGACATGCAGCCCTGCCCTGCATTGTACTTAGACTTTGTAGCATCTCAGTCAGCGCAGGCAAACGGCTAGAGTAATCAAACCGCATGAGTCGGAAGGACTTGGAAAGGGGACTGACGACGCGAGCACGAGGTGCCGCCTTTTATAATCCCTCGCGATGTCAGCACGGACCCGCCTGGCGGAAGTGCATGGGGGCACTTATAGCGCATATTTTTTGAAGTGTGGCGGCTGAGTGTAAATCGGCTTAAATGACCCGCTCTCAGAGACAACTCAGAGAGAGCGAATCCTTGGACTGGTGTTGATGACCTTGGGTCCATGTAAATTTAGCGATCGGTCTGGCAGTACAGATGTGGTAAGATAATCCACTTTCGCAACGGCGAGTTCAAGCTTTGTGAGGCAAGCATCGGTATTGTGCAGTATTGTGCTCACGGCAGGTAGCGATAGCTAAAAGATTTCCGAAATAGCCCAATCTTGATTGAAGTTAGTCTTCGATGCATCGCAGTCCCAAAGTTGGATCTATGAAGCTTTAATTAGACAAATATCGGGAGGGGAAGTGGTATTACTTGCCTGGGTACCATTGGCGCTGACGCCGTTTGTGAGGTCCAAACATTTGCCGGTGCCGGTCCACTCTATTTGACCGCGATGGTTGGTGAACATCTGGTTGGTGTTGCTAGCCGCGCATGTCCAAAGCTGGAGCTTCACGCCATTTGCCTTGGAGCCATTCGGAACGTCGAGGCATTTGTTGTTGAACGTGGAGATGGTACCGGAGAGAGGCGCAACTGGAGCGCCCCATGTCGAGTTGGCACCAGGGAATGCTGCTTGGATCTGACTGTCGAGGCCGCACGAAGTCAGCACGACGCTGGCCCCATTGCTATTCGATGTGCCGACAATGCAGAACGGAGTGTTGTCATTGGGGGAATTATCACCACCATAAATATGGGCGCTGCTGCGCAAGGGCCTCAGTCGCTATGTCAGGGAAAGGCCGTGGAACAAGACTTACACAGTCTGGTATGGGTTGCGCTCGCCTTGCCACTGTTGATTCGGATTGCCATTATGATCACACGTCCAGATTTGCAAAGGTGTATTGTCCGTGATTGCCCCGCCTTTGAGGTCCACACATTTGTCTGTTCCCACCCACTGGAAGGTCTGGTCAGTTCGGGAAGTGAACAACTGGTTTTGGTTGCGATTCGATGTGTCGCAGGTCCAAATTTGGAGAGATGTTCCGTCCGCGTTCAAACCATCCTTGACGTCGAGACACTGAATTATCGCATGAATGGCCCCGCTGAGGGAAGAGGAGAAGTTTACCTTGTCGCCGAAGATCTTGAGTTGCTGGGGGCCAACATCGTAACGATTATAAAACGCGACAGTCCAGTCTTGCAACGTGACGTCTTGATTGTTACAGTTGTGAATAACAACTTGACTCCCGTCCGCATTCGACTTGGTAGACATACATCCCTGGAGCCCTGCGTCAAAAACTACCAGTGGGGCCATGATTAGATTATGGATGCTAATGAAAGAAAACTCACACGCAGGATTACCACTTTGGATTTGGACAGCAGATGCAGAGATGACGAAGGAGAAGAGAGCGAGTGTGAGCATTGTGGTATGAAGCAAAGAAGGGGAGTTGAATGAGAAGGGAGATGCCTCCTAACTCCGTATTAATAGCTTTCGTAGCGCGGCGAACACGGGGACGCGGCCGGGGCAATTCAGTGTTGGTCGGCCATTTCTCAAGAGAGACGAGGATCGGCAGGGAGCCTGGGAGCAAATGCGGTTCAAACAAGCCGTCCTCGGAATAAATCTGGAATGAAATGAAGAGCGTTTGAATGTGGCCTGCTTAAAAACATATGAATGACCGCCGCGCGCACAGATTTACTGTCAGTTGGATCTTGTTGGTGCTTTGTGTGACGCTCCTTCGGGTTGACGACCTTCATGCAACCAGCGTTCGACATTCAGTATGTGACTGGATCGATTCACAATCATTGTTACTTCCCACTAGCTTCATCGGCCCATTTACGTCAACGACATCATGATCACGCAAGAACACCCTTCAGCACCCCAAGAATCGTGTCCACCTCCTCCAACGTGTTATAATGGACCAAAGAGATCCGCACAACACCATTTTCTTTGTCAACAGGAGGGGGGAGGCGTGTCGCGAGGTCATATGCATAGAAATGACCATAACGGATGCCAATCTATGTTTACGAGGATCAGCGATTGCGACGATTATGAAGAGGACCAACCCCGCCGTGTTCATCGAAAACTCGAACAACATCTCGACTGTTGAGCGGTCTATCACCAGCGACGACAAACGAGACAGTTGGAAGTCTGTTGACGCTAGGCTCCTCAATACCGACCACGAAGACACCGCGTTTCACCTGTTCTGGCGCGGTAAGGAAGGTAAGAAGTTTTGTCGCCAGTTGAGTTTCGTGTGCCGCAATAGCCGCAAAAGTGGCGTCGAGATCGTTGGCGGGAGTGAGTGAAAGCAGATAAGGAACGACTGCGGTTGTCGAGTAGACAATCTCATAACCCGGTCCGCCAGGTTGGAGTTTGTAGGAGGGAGTGTATACGAAATCAGTGGGACTGGGACTGGGCCAATCCCACTGATCCTGCCCAGTCCCACTGATTCATGTCCCATCAGTGGGATTCGTGCAGTCAAATGTGACACATGCACGAGTCCCACTGATCAACGGGATTGTCGCGGGTCTACCAGTTGCGGCGCCGGCCGCGGCGGCCGGGGTTTTCCACCCCGGACCCCGACCAGGGCCTTGCCCTGGACCCACCCTGCCGGGGGCTTCGCTCGCCGCGGGGCCCGCTGCGCGGAGCATTGTCCCCCCCTTCTTCCCCTTTTCCGCCGTTCCCGGGTTCAACCATCTGGTTCCACACTGGGTTGCGGCGCCGGCCGCGACGGCCGGGGTTTTCCACCCCGGACCCCGACCAGGGCTTCGCCCCGGACCCCACGCTGCCGCGGGCTGCCGCTCGCCGCGGAGGCCTGCTGCGCAGCGCTTTGCTTGATCTCCGGCGTCACGCGGTGTCAAGGCCAAAGGCATCAATCCCACTGATCAGATGGTAAGCGAGCCTGATCAGTGGGACTGGGCCTGATCAGTGGGAGTGATGCGGACTTGACCAGTCCCACTCCCACTGATTTCGTTATCCCTCTGTAGGAGGGGGGGTAGAATGGAGATGAACCAGGGGCAATGAAGTGGTGAACAATGGACGTGACGGAGGAAGCGAGGGCCGAGCTTCGGATGTAGAGGGCAGAAATGTGCGGCGCGTAGAGTTTGTAAAACGAAAAGACACAGAAGTCCTGGATGACAGTCAGACGAGTGGTATTGTTGAAGTAGTTAACCCACAATATCCCAAGCTTTCACGTCCATCCGGCGATGTGGTGCGTAAGCAACACAGTCAATTGAAACCTCTACTTTCTTCGCGCCTTTCGCAGCGGCATCTGCTCTGAGGGCCCTGGTAATCTCTTGGACTGGCACAACCGATCCAAGCAAATTCGAGGTCGCAGTAAATGCCACGATCCGTGTTTTGGCGGTGATCAAGGGCAACAAGTCTTCCACTTTGAGGGAGAATGAATAGGGATTATTGGGGTGGGTTGGCGTGGAATGCCAGTATTTGACCACGGCTCCACGTCGTGCTGCAAGTTTCTTCCAGGGGCCGCAATTAGCTATCGAGGTTAGTGGCAAGAAAACAAAAAATGTGAATTAGGACAAACCTTCGTGCTCCCCAGTGACGATAAACTCGTCTCCAGGCTGGATATCAGGCTCCAGTCCTCTGGCCAGATTCTCCAGATTGCTTGTCGAGCTGGGTCCAAAGGCAATTTCGCTGTTGCTCTCGGCATTGAACAGCTTCCTCGCTTCCTCTGCCGCGCTCTCCACCCGCGCCGTGCTCACAGCCGAGACGCTGTAGTCGGCTCCCAGTTGGGCATTGGTGTTGGTGAGATAGTCGACGATGAGATCGATGGCGGACTGGGTAACTTGGCTGCCGCCCGGCGTTGTCGGCGAAGATGAAGCCAGCTTTGAGTGCTGGAAACTGCGAGCGAGCAAAGTCGACGTCGAGGATATGGGGGGCCGCCATCGAAGCGATGTGAAAATCGATTCCGGCACGGGTTGCGATAACCCGGGGACTCGGATGGCCAATGGGACCATTCGCTTTTTATGGACGGCTTTTGCGGGGCACGAGCGAAGTAATAGGGAACACGGCTTGATCATGCTCGCTGCAAGTGAAAGAGTTGGTCACAGTGACTCCGCAACTTGAACAAAAGCTTCCCCACTTGAATGCACGGGGAAAACCCACTCGTTGCATCTCGACCCTATTGCGGCCAATCGCTACTATCTTGGTTGTCGACTCCAGATTCACCTTTTGACAGAACAAAACAAGTAGACCCTTGGTCATATACCGGGCCAAGCGATTCAGTTATCGCCTTCCAGAATTAACGTTGGCTTTGCCAAGACCCAACAATCCAAGCTTTGCAAAGAACCAAAGCATGAAATCAACTGTAAGAGCTACTGTAATACAGTGTCGGTCCGCGTTCAAGTTCTCACCGTGTCATTCCATATCTATTGAGATTAACCGATACATGGACTGGATTACCAGAATCTACAAGAGGTGAGTGATCGGGAGATCGGGCACATTGGATCTGCCATCACAGCGACCCCCCCCAGATTAGGAAGTCACTCCGGTAGTGTAGTCACAAGTAGTAACGTAGCGTCTGCCACTCAATTGTCTTGCACGCAACTTGCACTGTAGGGCAGATTTGTCACTAACCACCTTCCAGGTCTTCACTTTCCATGCCTGTAGCTCTTTCAAACACGACACTCTGCTACCAACATAGGGAACTCCAGTTGGAATAAGGAAAATATGAACCTAAGCAACACTAAAACACTGTGTATATGCCAATTAGTTTCCATACTCATTTCTTTAGATGAGCAGCTCAATATACCTCTTGAGACGCTCTCTCGAGGTGTTCCGTCGCCCACACTCGTTCACGTGTGATGGAGCCGGATGGGGAATCTGTCAGTGTCAGCCGTGAGACCAGGGAGGCTCGACCGCCCGATCACCCACCTCTTGAGAATCTATTCTTAACTCCTCCGCAACACGGTATGCCAGAGCAAGTTCGGCTGGGAACAGGTAAGGCAACGTCTGAAGGGAAAGGAGCCGCAACTCACTCGCGAAGAACAAGAAGTGCGGCCCCTTGCTTCCGACATCCTCTCCTCTCCCAACTGCAGCTCGGCCAACACCAAGCTCAGTTGAACGGTCGCGCGCGCGCCGACCTCTGACCAATCTCGGCCACAACTTTGACCGGCCTCGGCGTGCAACGCGCTGAAGAACGTTGCTCGCGCCAGAGGTCAGTGCTGTCCGTAAGGTCAAGAATGTACTGAGAAAATGTCAGGATCACAAACTCTGGCCGAGTAGCACTCACTTGCTGGGCCAGGAACAACGACAGCGGGTTCCACTCCAATGCCGCCTCCGAACTAGTCAACGCGGCGCCTCAGCAAGATACCCAGCATGTCAACACGGCGACTCACCTTTGCAACTCCGAACGAGCCGATGCACAAGGCGAATATATCGCTGGGACAGGTTTGGGGAAGGAAGAAATAAGTACCGGCTACTCTTCGGCGCGCACGTGCATGACACGGGCCGGCCGATCGATCGCCGATCGATCACGAGCCCAGAGCCAACCACCACCAACGCCCGACGGGGCGCGCGTTCGGGGGACAACGAGATACCTACCCAGCGTGATTTACTGCGGCGACAACTGCTCAGCACAACATCGAGACAACAGCGAACAGTAACTCACCAACTGAAGACGATGTCAACAACCAAGATGACGACAGTGGCTATCTCAGCTGGGCTCGGTACTGGCCGTACTGCAGACTATGCCCTCGACAACGAAGGCTTGGCGCTGACTCAAATGGCTATGTTGCATCCACACCGACTCAAGAGTCTATCGTGACAAACGACACAACCGCCCCGCTGCCAACGCGGAGAGCCCTGGAACCGAAAGCTCTTTCCTTCCAGATGGCAACTCGGCACAGACTGCGAAGATGAGCTAGGGAGCAGCAGCGGGCAACAACGACTCACCAATAACTTCCGGCTTTAACGCGGCCAACGCGGAGCCGCCCAAGTCGTACCCAGCATCCTCTTCCTCTCCCAGCGGCAATTCGGCACAGAAGCACAAGGGTAGCATGAGCAATACGACACGACTCACTTTGCGCAACACCATCTTACGCTTCCGACACTGTCAACCGCGATGCTCACCGTTTAGGCAACAGCGACAACCCCAGAGCTGACCCGACTCACCTTTGCCGTCCATCGCAACCACAAACACCACCTCGCCGATATCAACGCCGTCCATGGTCGCAGAGAGGTTGGGCTGGAAAAATAAGTGTTGGGGAACAGCGGCAGCAAGATGACGACTCACCGATAACCTTCGGCCAGAGCCGGCCAAGTCCCGCCCCCTCTTCTAACGGCAACTCGAGGTTTAACCTCGTCAAGTCCTCCGACTGCGGCTGCAAGCTGTACGGCCACGACTTGAAGTTAGGCGCGCTACCTCCACAACGCCAACTTGTTCCCTCCGCACTGACCCGCAGCCAGTTTTGGCAACAACTCTCACCGCGCTCCTCATCCAACCCACTGTTCGCGCAAGGACTGCCGTACCGAGACATCCCAGTCAAGAAATCTGTGATGAAGACATCAATGACCTGGTGGTCCGCGGAAGGGAATTCGAGACAGCGCTGGCGAGTTGTTTCGCGTCGTTCTTGCCGTACCTGGAGTTGAGGGAGTGGACCAAAGTCCCAACAACTTGAATGGCAAGGGCTCGTGATCGAGGCGACTGTAATGCGGTAAGTCACTGTTTGCAGGAAAGGAAATGGTAACAAACTCACCAAGGTCTAAGACGTCGCATTCCACTTCCAGAACAACGGTGTTGTCGCTGAAGACCCCGGCGTTGGTGCCTACAACCACTTGATATCAACGGGCTGAACGGTAAGCAAGACAACAATATCAAGAGAAGACCACTCACCTTTACAACTATTAACAATGCCTCGGCGATACACAAGCCTCAAACAGAACACTGTAACGGGTCAGAAGCCGAGGACGAAGCAGCGACAACTCACCTGCCGACAACGACAAGCCCGGCGAGCGTGGTGGGCAAGGACAGCGAGCTCGGCTGGGGAGAGGACGACGATGGCGACATCAGAGCAAGGAGAAAAGTGGGGGGAGAGGAAAGGGAGGAATGATGGAACTGTCGGATTGGGGGCTGGGTTTTATACCCAGTGCCCGTCGGCGCTCGGCGCACGCGAGTTACGATATGTCAGGGGGAACGCTTGCCGGATAGACGCGTCGCTGACAGCGGGACCTGGGCGATCTCGCCACTGCCGGTAAACCGTGGAATCCGGTTTAGAGTGGATTCTGGGTGTATATTGGGCAGTTAGCGTGTATAGATGGGTTGAATATAATCTTAATGTGTGGTCAGAAAACCTTTCAGTGTGAGATACCACACTGTAAGAGACCAAAACATGAAAAAGTAAGTTGCGAGGTTGGAAGGAAAATACGGGATACTCAGCGAGCGGAGCGCCCATATTGCAAGCGAGTGACACAAGGGGTGATGGTGCCGTGATACCAGCATGTTTCATGTTAAAATCGCGACTTCGCCGCTGAGAAACGCGGAACTTTGGGGTGTTGTATGAAATTTCGGCGGAGTAAAGGATTCCTTGGGGAATCTGGAGCGGCGAAGTGGATGGTAGGGATTGTCACGTGAACTGATGAAATTTCGGAGGTAATCGGCCCATCCCCTGGCTCAGAATCTCAGGAATCAGCGAAATAACACACCTGAGGAAGATCATATATTCGAGTGCTCTTTCCCTACCGCCAAAAGCTTGGGTCGAAGGAGCGATTACGTAATCACGTCCTCCTAAAATTTGAGCCAAATCGGAGCATTTCTAGCTATATAACAGCGGCTGATTTGAGAATTTCCCTTTTTGGCGGCAGGCGGTAGCATGCGATAAGGTCACGTGACCGGCTTCCGGACCTCCGACAAAGCCTTATGAAACATTTTGACAGCTGCCCGACTGTGACGGTGAATCGGAAATTGCCATTTCCCCAGCATTTTAAGGACATCTTTCTTTTAATTTTTCTTCTTTCTCACTAGCTTTTGTTATGAAGTCTCTTACAATAATGCCTTCTAACTATGTTAGATTTCTAATAGTATCCTTTTCAAGACAATATGTAGCAAAAGTTCCCACTTACTTTTTATCAGGACTATCATTAAGTCTGGTTCTCTATACATATTTGAGATTCATTACGGGCAGTTTAGCCCAGTTCTTGACCCATTTTAGATGACATCTTTAGTTTGGACCTATAATCCAAATGCTAGCTTCCATTCAAATCTTATCTACTGTTTAGTGTGACCATTCACATCAGGTTTTGCACAAAAACAGCGACCCGGAGCTGGACTTTTTTGTGAGAAATCAGGTGCCAAAAATGGGCACCCAATTTCTGACAAATCAACGTCGCAGATCCGATGTCCGAATTACCAAATAAGGTAATTTTGACGTCACATGCTCCACAATCAAGGCCTTTGATTCATCAGAAATTTAGGGCACTGATTTAGGCCCCGATCTCTGCTATATAAGTTCAGCTTTGGGTGACCGTTTTGGCGCAAAACCCTGATGGGATTACTAACTCCAAAGACTGTTTTGGCTGGCACACATAGTGATGGCCAGGTTTGGTCCGGGTTTTTGGTTCAAACCTAAGCTTAACTGGACCAAACTTAACCGGACTGAACTGAGGTTCAGTGTTCACGTTCAGCCAAAGACATTTCCAAATAGAACCAGGGCTTAGGTTCGACCACATTTGGCCATTTTGCCCCAAAAAGGCTGGTTCAGGATCAGTTCAAACTGGGGTTCAGCATTCAGGTTCACCAAATCTGTGTTTTGAACCAAACTAGCAGTCTGGTGGTCAGCCAAATTAGGCCAAGACCTGGACTGAACTGGACTTGGCCATCACTAGACACATAAATGTAAAGTTTTTTATTTGATTTTTGTGTCAAATCAATCTACTCCAATCACCGCCTCTTTAGACTGCTGATGGCACAGTCCATGCACCTGTCAGTGGTTAAGAAGTGCAATATGTTGGAGCAGTTGACCATTCCAATTGTTGACCGTGCAATGGATCTAATGATCTAATGTGACTACTGTGACCCAACATA